TGACTTTGCAGGCCCTTTTCTTATATCAAGTAAAAGGGGGAGAGGTAATCGTAAAACAAAATGTTACCTTTGCTTATTTGTGTGCTTGAACACTAGAGCTGTCCACTTGGAGGTAGTGAGCGATCTCACTACAGATGCTTTTATATTGTGTTTGCGTCGTTTCATCGCGCGTCGAGGTAAACCTAAAGTTTTATATTGCGATAACGGTACCAATTTTATAGGAGCAAATAATGAACTTGGTAAAATTTTGCGCTCCAGTCGTGAGTCTGTCACAGATTTTGCTACCTCTGAAGGTATAGATTTCGTTTTTAGTCCAGCTTATTCTCCTCATTTCGGAGGTATATGGGAGGCGGGTGTTAAGGCAGCAAAATATCATTTAGTTAGGATTGTTGGTAATCAATCATTTACTTTTGAAGAATTGACTACGCTATTTTCACAAATCGAAGCTATCTTAAACTCCCGTCCTCTTTCTCCTATCTCGTCCGATCCTTTTGACCTAACTCCCCTCACCCCAGGGCACTTCCTCATTGGACGGCCTCTGGTGTCATTGCCCTCGCATCCAGCAGACGACGGCAGACTGAAATACCACGCAATAACAAAAATTCGTGATGAATTCTGGGAGCGATGGCGAAAGGAATTCTTGGCGCGAATTGCAATTGAGAACTAAATGGACGACTCCTCAAGCCAATCCTAAGGTCGGGGATATGGTAGTAATTAAAGAAGATTTTTCACCACCGCAACGCTGGCGCCTTGGCCGCATTTCACGTCTGCACCAGGGACCAGACAACGTGTGTCGAGTGGTTGACATTTACACCGCCAGAGGCACTATTCGCCGAGCGATCCACAATGTCGTTCGGCTACCACAAGAAGTTGAAAGTTAAACTTTCAAGGGCCGGAGGATGTCTACGCCGGAACGCATCATTCTTCGTCGTTTATGGAACGCATCCGTAGCGCGAGCGAGAGGTTCGAGCTGCGCGCCTTCCGGCCACTGCCATTCTAATAGTCGCGACGAAAACACACTCAATTATTGTAAACTTATATTATAATTAGCGATTAAAGAAGTACATCTGCAAAGGGATCTACTTATTTATATCGATCACTCGGCTTTGGGAGGCACGTCACCATGAGAACAGTAGTTGTTCAGCTGCAGCACGTACTGGTCTACGTTTTTAGTGACACAGTGCGCCGCAGTCAGCGCGAAGGTCGGAGACAGGAGTGTGGCACCACACATATGGCACAGGCTGCTAGAGTTCTGTAGAGATGCCACCCGGGGTTGTATGCCTGTTACAATAAACGCAGAAATGAGTAAGTATATGGTGGTACAACAACATTTTCTAGTCAGTGTCGAAATATACCAAGTTAGACGCAATAGTCTAAAGACTAAAAAAATTGCTTCAACCCTAAAAAATATAATAAATATAAAGCGCGGTTTCCGCTGTGACTGGGCAACCAGCTAACGTTGCAACATGTCCCGGGGTCAATCCCCGCTCGGGGAAACCCTAAATGTACTTAGTCTGTCTCCTAATACAGACATTTGATAAGTATTCCAGGTCTGGGCGTAATGTGTAAATATGTTTGTAAACGCACCCACGTTACAAAAGAAAATCCTAGTGTGGAGCAACGTTATAAAACGTTTTTTGTATCCATTTGCTATTTATCATCCAGTCATCCACATGTCTCCCTTCTTCTCATTTACCATATCCAGAAAATAATACATAAGAAATAATTTAAAGATCACCACTTCATCTTAACAACCTCTTTGCTCTGAAGTAAACATTTACATGTTGTTAAGACTTGTTTACAACCAAACGCGTGCATTATCAAACCCTTTGGACCTGATATTGTGGATTTTTTATTTTGTATTCATTGTCTGACCTCTGCAGTCCTAAGGGAAATCAGTTTTCTTCAATATATGCTTATCAGTGCAAAGCTTACGTTCTGGTTAAATAAAATAAGCTTCGATAGTCCCTTTGTGTAAACAAAGTAGCCGTTCGTTGATATAAGTAGTATGGCGACACATGCCTTTAATAATGCAATGAAGTCGGTGTTAGCTTGAATTTGATAGCATTAAAACCTATATGTTTATTATAAGGTTTTAGCGAAGGTCTTGTCGAAAATCGTGCTTTTGACTCAGGTCTTAGCGGGGGTCCCACTTTACTAGGACTTTACTGTTACCATAGAAACTTCGTTTTTTTATTCTCTGATAGGTCTTTAAAATGTTAATTGGTGGTGAGGCAAATGTTATTGTAATCTGTGGTAATATAATTAAACTTTTAGTTCGATGTGCCCGCTTCACATGCACGAGGGTGTGGGTTTGAAACCTGGCAAGTAGGAACCAATGTGGCTTTTTTTAACTTTCAAAGTATATTTTAGACACTACTGACAAACCATGAAACCTAAATGACAAATGACCAAACATCAATCCGCCTTAAAAAAGCGTGGTGTCAAACCTTTTCGTGAAAAGAGACCTTTACTCAACAGTGGGCTGAGTTTGATATCTAATTAATAAGCCTTCAGCTCATAAAACTAATATTATTGAAAGGACTTTAAGTTTCACCCTCTTTGTCATTACGTAAGATTATTAAAACTATGAACAGATACCACAGCGGATACTTATTCAACTATATCCTGATCTTTAACAAATATAAATAGCAGTGACCTTTAACTTAATTTTAGATACACTACAACAAGATATCCAATATTAGAACAGTCTTTAAATTTAGAGAGCATATGTTATTTTATTCCAATAGTATTTATAGAGAACTTCAATCTTGTGACTATGTGGAAATGCAAATTCCTGTATAGGTAAATACATACCTACATAAAAATTAGTGAAAGCTTTTTTTCTATCTTAGACTAACAGATGTGGAGACGACTTCGTTCTTGTTTCAATTGGATATCGGAATAAAATAAATGTAATAACTAAAATGATTCTTCAGACGGATTTGTAGGTTAAACGCACTAATGTACTGCGGCTCAGCTCGGAGCAGGAGAACAAACGGGGTGGTGTTTAGTCAGTAAGAGTCTGACACTCCCTCTTTAGCCCCAACCAAGAAAAAACATACTTAATATAATTTTACCCGCTCAAAAAAAAAAAAACTTGAATGATTCTAAGAACAAAACACACCTATTGATGATAGATCTAACATCATTTATTACTAGGCTAGGCATTTCAATCTACCATAAAATACTTTGACACCAAATACCTGCGTAATAAAACGGAAAATGCAATACCACAATCAACGTCCACGGCTCCGATAACTCTCTTTATTCTCCCACATTGTGCCAACAGTACAAGATTTAAAACGAATTTGAACACTATCAAGAAGAACACAGTATTCTTTTTACCACGCATTGCACCATAAAAATTAGGTAATAAGTACCTAGGATATACACAAATACTAGATACAAAGTATTGATATATTAGCCGTAAAACAACTCGTTTTAAATTCCTTTTTACAAATTATCTAATTTTAACAACACATGTAAATTGTTGTACAGGATTAGTGCAAATTACGATGGTAGCTCGTGACAATGTATATTGCTGAAAGTATTTAATCAGCTGTTTATGTGATCATTAAAAGAGCCATTTGAACATCAAATATTTTTCGATGAATTGTCGTGTTAACACGCGCATTATGGCTATTGTTATGTCTCACAAATGTGTGTAATTTATTGCTAAACACTCATCTATGTTGATATAAAAAATCAATGTTGTTTTTCGCTTTGATTTTGTGGACTCTAATGTCTATACAAGTCGTGACGATTATCCTTAATATCCAACATTCATATTTTAAAAAGTAAACTGAATCATCCTCTATATTACTTATTTCAACTTTGTTTGTAACGGGTCGACGTCATAAAATAAAACAAGTGAACGAACTTAACTAATGACTTAGCATAATTTTCCAATAAAATATAACGAAAGCAGTGTTCATTGTGTTCAAAGCTGATTAAAATTAAGGGTAGCGGTCGAAGGCCACCCTTAATGTTATTGTTATGTTCTTTATCAGGGTTGCAAGCACGCTCGGGACTACACGATACCTATTTTTCGGTTAAACACAAGCAGATTTTCGTTTCTGTGTACTTAAATGTATATAGAACAGTCATGTTCTGACTATTGCTTGATAAAATTGCTGAGCAATCAAATTTTAGTGTTCTCTGGATTTTCTTAAAGAGTTTAGTTCGTTACTGTACCATTTACTATGTAGACGACCATTTTAAAATAATTGCTTTTACCAAATTGAATCCTGGAACTACTTACTTTAACAAAAGTTAATTAAACGATATCAACCTTCTATAAAAGGCCATAATGCTTTCGGCATAAAAGAAAGCGGTTTTAGGGCAAAGTCAAATGTACGCTCGAACTCAGGTCACCCTTGACAAGTCATTACTCATTATGGGCCCACGCAGGCAGGTACATGCCTATACGTAGTGTGACTCTACCTTAGCCTTGGTTTATTGTCTACGAAACACTTACACGAAGTAGAACTCGAAGTGAATCAGATTGTTACAAGAAAATCAAAGAATAACATCACTGATCCAGTCAGTTCTCGTGTCTGCTTAAAATCATATGCTGTGTTAAGATAAAGTGCTACAAATTAGTCTGAGTCGGTGTTGAGTGAGCTTAAAATAGTATTTCTATAATTATTTAGTGTTATTGTTGTGGTTTGCATGTGATGCCAAAACGTAGCGACAACAGACAGGTGGGAGCGGGCAGCGGGCAAGCCGCGAGGTTTATGTAACGCGAGGGCGCGTTAGTGCGCGGCGGCAGTCGGCAGTCGGGGCACAGCGCGCCATGGACCGGGCGAGCGGCAGCCCGCCGCCCAGCCCCCCCGCGCAGACCGGCTTCAGCGCCTTCTGCAGCGCGCTCTCTGACACGCTCTCGGTACGTACCCACCACGCGCACCGCGCACCGCACCGCTACTCTACACCTACACACCCACTCGCCATTTATTCTTTATGACATCCCGCCACCGTCCAAAACGTATTTTGGCGCCGTTTCGTTTAATCCGTTCTCGATAAATTACGAGAATCGAAGATGAGTGTCGCGTTGCGGTCTATTTTGAGGCGCACGTGGTCTTCGAGGTCGGCGAGCGAGGCCTTGGCGTCCGGTGCTGGACATCACTGAAGAATCAGAATAAAAGTCATGGAGGGAATAAAAAATATAAACAAGTTTATTATTAGAGTGCTCGTTGAGGCCGGGTCGCACGGTCGCGATTTGTCCGATGCCTGTGATCTACAGAAATACCCGCGCATTAAACGCCCGCCTGGTGCGACGTACAAAGGCCGAGCGCGACACCGCGCTGTGCTCCTCAGCAACCTTGCGACCACCACCGGCACCAGTTGTGCCGCCTGCTTGCTCTGCCGAGCGCCCTCGCTCCGCGCCGCGCCCGCTCTCTCGCACCACTCGCCTCAGCGACCACCCATAGGTACACCACTAATCTATCAGATACAGCTGCACTTCTAACTGATGCCATATCCCAACTTCGACTTAACAGCACAAGTAACAAATTGAGTTGTTTATATTTGAAAGTGTTGGTGCTTTATTCAAATACTGTGTTGTGATACAGTGATACTAAAATGCATCGGACAAATAGAAAGTTTTAGTTTTCGAAGAATAGTTCGGAAGATATTGTGTTACGGTTGTTAGCCGGCTAGCTGCAGTACGTGTGGTTTGTTTATCTATTCGGCGGCGCCGCGCCGGTGTCAGTGCCGGCTGTCCAAAGTTATTTGAACTTAGGTGATCGCTATTTCCCTGTTTCCGTAGTAAAATCCCAATAGCTGGTTTGAGTCGCCTTAAACAAGACATAACGACGAGGTACCCGGCTTAATAGGTCTGAAACACTCAGACACTTTTCAATTGGTCCTAGGTTCAAGGTTAATCGGATTAACCTTATTACAGATGAAAGGAATGTTTCGTACTTATAAAATAATTTGTAAATAAGAAAGTAGTCATTTTGATCGATTCATTGAAATTACTAGTAGCAGAAGCTTTCTATTCATTCGTATCAAAGAAGCTTTGATGAGGTATAATGGGCTTGTATATCGATGTAAGACAATATCCAGATGTAGAGGTATGGCTATGTCAGTGTGAGTAGGTATGTTTACGTGTTTGAACGTGGTGCAAGGTTGGTCCAACGATTTGACCGCATCGATCGGTGACGTGCCACCCTGCCCTTACTTACGCGCTTTCTTCAATCAGAAACAACTTCCGATAAAACCTTAAACTTATAATAAAAAAACATGAAAACAAATAACTTTTTTTCAATTATATTTTAATTTAAAGATATTACTTTTTGAACTAAAATGACCAGCACGAAAAGTCGTTAAGAGAATGACAAATGAAGCAATTTAGAAGTAAATTGTTCGTATACAGAAAATGTTTTCGTCATCGATCGGTATTCGCTAAGTGTCATATAATTTGAAAATACATTTCTATAATGAGCGTTAAGATTAAATGAAATTGTTCTTTTCAATTCTGAAATTGAGGTGATTCGGTCAAATAACTAGAAAACAAAGTGTAGTTGGTTCTTATGAATGCATTTTGGTTTTGCATCTGCAGTTTTTTTGTTATTACGTTTAGGCTCTTTAGGGTAGTTAAACCCATTACATAAATTTCTGACATACATCTTTAACGTCATAATAAAACGCTATTAATTTGAAAATTACTGACTCTAAGGCTAAACTAATTTGAGTGAAGTTAAGGACTTTAGTTAAGGGATAATCGACGCCTATTAGAGCCAATAGACCACATATAAGAAGATTATTATACCCATAGAAGGGGCCCAAGAGGACTGATGTTCAACTGCGGCCTCGCTCGGCCTGGAGCTGCATAAGGAATGGAGTGGCTTTTAGTCAGTAAGATCCTCAAACTATCTCACCCCTCACCTCACCTAGGGCGACAGGAATATTAGAATAATTTGCTGGCTTTCCCTCATAAAAAAGGATAGATTATTGACTTTAAACTATCACACTTAATGCTTTTACAAATAACTTATTTTTTTTAATTTATACATTATCAAAATACTACAACATAATACAAGCGAATGTAGTCACAATAAGCAAAAGCCATCAATAATTTACAAAATATTTCACACCTTTAACATTTTACAAAATCTATTATATTTATTTACATGTATTTATAATCAAAAGGTCATCATCATTATCATTACGCCCTCCTATCACGCCTCAGGCACATTTAAGACCGTCGCATCTTCGCAAGCTCTCCCTTTCACTATCTTATTTCACTTTACTTTTATCAGCTTTCAAGCAACATACTTTTCTTTCATAACAAGTCTATCTAATAGGCGGTTTCCGCTCAGCTTACTTGTTATAAGCACCACTTCCAAGCTTCCTGTAAATCCATTTGGTAAATGCATTAATTTTGCTTTTCTGCAGAGTCGGTCTTGTTATATAATTTTAGTCTTTTTAAGTCCCGGCGAGGATATATCTTATCTTCAATGCAGTATCCAGTTTGCGCTAACTCTGTGTGTGCAATAACGGTGAATACAATTCACTAGGTTTAATCCAAGACATTTAATAAACACTAAATTATTCTTTGCCCAAATGAACGGAAAGAGTTTTGAGGGGCTGTTTTGTAACCGATGTGTAAATGTGTTATCTATAGCTTATTTTTTCACTTATTTATATTGAAGTACGTAGGTATGTACATAGACAACATGTTTTTAAGAACTTGTAAACAAAAATAAGTAATCATCATTTTAATTCATTTGTTTTCTGAAAATTAAAGTTTCATGAGATTGATTTTTCGTTTCCAAGACCTGCAAAATTTCATTACAATCGCTTTAGCCGTTTTCGAGAACCTGTGAATATGTGTGTAAATCTATGGATGGAAGAATTGCTCATGTATTTCCTTCCTTTTCTAAACTAGAGACACAATTGCGAAGTTTGTGTTCAATGGTCACTTAAATTTTGTGGATGCACAACCCACTGTGGGTTGTGCAGTGCAACGTGTCATGGATTCGGATCCTGCACGGAACAGATTATTGTGTGATCCACGAATTGTCGTTTCGAGTCTGAATGTTATGTGTATGTGAAAAATAAAATTGTATGTTTGTTAATGCACCCATAACTCAGTAGAAAATAATGTATAGGGAAAAGGTTTACAAAAAAAGTAAGAAGTTATTTGATGATTTTCGCCCCTCAAAAAGAAATCACTTAGCTTCAATGATTACTAAATGACAGACTTTTTACGTTTCAAAAGTATATGACTATGTTTGAGTAAACTTTATGACATTGATCTTTGACCTTAATAGATTGCATTATAAACATACATATGTATATAACTAAAATATTTGCATAACATAGTAACTTTGAAGTTCAAACTCGATTATATGAACCGTATAACGAAGTTGAAACTATCAGGACTAACGTTTCAGAGCTTCGATGCAAACTTTATAACAGCTTCGCTTAATTCTTTTATCGGATCTGTTAACTGTAACTTTGTATCAAAATGTTTGCATATTTCGTTTAAATTACCTTTTAAGTTTTTAAAAATATTTTTATGCTACGTAGACAGATTAATTTTAAATAAAAACCCTTTTACTTTATACTTACTTAAAATCATAATGGTTTTTAGCTTTGTTCACATAGATTTTGCTATGAAAGACAGCCAAAGTCCTTTTCTGTACTCTTCTTAGCTACATGTAACTAAAAGTCAATGTTGAGTAGATAAAGCGTTAATTTATACCCATTTAAAATCATAATTTTGTTAAGCTTTGTTCACATAGATTTTGCTATAAAAGATAGTCAATGCCCTTTTCTGTACTCTTAGCTATATGTAACTAAAAGTCAATGTTGAGTAGATAAAATTTACAAAAGAGTATATAAACTTAACCTATTATTTATTGGTATTTATTAGTAAACATATATATTTGAGTATACAATAAAAAATTGAGTCCTTAAACGAAATCATGAAATAAAAATATGCGATGCATTGTAGCAATCTAACAAAACAATGCAATTTATGCCATTTCATTATTCAACAAGTTACGTAGCCCGTAGCACATTCGTAGCAAATTTCGTAGTACAAGGGACAATAAAACGCTACGAGGGAACTGATTAATTTCTTATTGAATTCTCATTAATCAGTCAATGTCACCCAATGTTCAAATTAACTTACAAATCCATTTTTCTTTTTTCTCATAGATATAGGAACTAAATTGTAACAAGTGTTACGTGTTTTGTAAAAAATCTGAATTATTATCCCACATTCTTACTCGTTGTCTCAAAACATTTTAAAATCAAAGAGATTTATGTTGCAGTATCTCACACGCTCAGCTCTTTTAGAGTTTCGTGCTTACAATCTAAAACCGAATCCGTTGCCACTTCGATAAATTACGTCTGACTGTGTAGTGAGTTTAATGTATGTGTGGTTATTTACCATTATTTACGTTACAACTGGTGTTCTGTTATCATCTGTGATTTTTCCAAATTTTAACATTTCCAATGTCAAAACGCAATAAAAGTTACTATAAAATGTAGAGCCTCTACAACGTAGACCCTCTACGGCGTAGACATACTGCTACGTCGTAGAGGGTCTACAAAGTTGAATGTACTACGGAATGATAGCGGGCACTTTCGATTCGCACTTGACCACTATTTTTTACTGCAATACTCGTCACAATGTAGCGTCTGTGCAGAATTTAAATTATAATTTCAGATATTGTGAAGAAGTTTTTCATTTGGCATAACTACATACGTCGTGGACGAACCTTTTTAAAAATGCGTAGGATTTGTTATGTTGAGCCGAATCCAAATTGGTCGCATGAGAAAGAAGCACGCGTGTGTGTAAAATTGAAGATAAATAACTTGTATTAGTAAGTCGTTACCGGTTGTGCAGTGGGAATAGCATTGGAACAGTGTTTTGTATCAGCCGCAGTCAGTACTCTTGGAACATTATAAATAGAAAATAGACAACAGAATCGGGGAACTCGGCCACTGCTCCTGCTATTTTCGATCGGAACTTGTCCCGAAATCAAGAACACGGCCAGGTTACCGACAACTGGTCGACTATGAATGTGCGTTGTCATTGGGGGCGCGTCTTGTTCAGGAACATACGTGTCGGGTTACAACGGTTCGCCCACTTCGTAAGTCTTTTCATCTCGCTTCTTTTCTAAAAACTTCAAACTACTACAGCTTACATATTTTATAGCTATATTATGCATGGGAATGGCTCTGTATTATAATAAATTTCGTAATAAAGTACTTTAAATTCAAGAAGTAGATGCGATAAGTAATCTTGGTACGAGTAAAAGTTCAAAAACCTTTAGAATATCAACGACGTTCATAAGTTCGATCAATTAGGCGATCGCAACTTATCTGAATAACAATGGTCTGGCTCCTTGTTTCGTGACCTTGACCTAGTTACGGAAGGTCGTTGACATTTAACTTTTCTATAAGTACCTACATCTTAAAATATTACCACGTAACTCCATTATTCTTCGAGCAAAACTATGTTTGGCCTGTTTGGGTAACTGGAATAACTTCTTAACAATAAATAGTAAAATGAAAACTGATGCAATATCGAAGTGTGATCTATGATATACTATGCCAGTGAGAATAAACATCGTAAAAAAATGATATTGACTCGCATTCGAGTCTTAGTTTGTAATAAATCAGGAATCTCACAAACACTGAGCGCTATCGCATTGATATAGGTAAAGTAGCGCATTTTATATAATCTCTCAAAGTTTATTCTGGAAAAAGGCCAATTTAAAAACTAAGGTACTTACATATAGGTAGACGCCATGAATTATTACACCGCAGAATATTATTTACATAAAAAGAGTAGCCATGAAAATATTTTCGTTAAATAAATACAGGAATAAATTCAAAGGTGAAATATTACTAGCGTAATGAATTCTTATCTGCCAAAACATTGCCTCTATTAAACAAGGTTGTCTAAAGTAATTAGGCTTTTCATTATAAACACTAGATTGTGAATCCATCTTACAAATTACAGACGATCAATCATTTTAATAAACCTGTATGTAAAATTTAAATTGCCTGTTAACGTTGTAACAGCAAAATGCAATGCAGGCTCCTACATTTGTGAACAATAACTGTCAGACAATAATTCTGTTAGCGACAACCACTAATTAGTTGAAGACCTGTTTAAATCATTTGTAACACGATAATAGTTATTAGCCGAGCTGTTAACGCAGTGATAATTGGTTAAACAGATCAAACACGTTTCTATCGCTCTTCTAGTTAGTGTCCGATATTTTCCCGCAGGAAAATGTTGTGACGTAACAAGTAAAGTATCTGCTTGCAAGTTTCCAAATGAAAAATAAATACCGCCGGCTAGCCAATTAGCAACGCAATTGTTTACAAAGTGTTTCCTAGACTACATTTTTAATAGCATCGAGAGAAAAACATGATTGTTTTTCGGAGATTGATAATCATCGAAGTGTTTCGTTTAATTTTTCCTCGTTATTGTCCGGCGGAATTACATTCGGTACTGGCAAAGTTTCGTTGAAAATTTATGGAAAAACAGTCTTGCGTGTATTCTGAGAATAATTTTATTAAAGCATCGAAACGTTAGCATCGTTATAAACAATATATGTTGTCGAACAAATCGCTTTCCTTGTTAATAAAGTGGCTAGTCGAGAGTTCCTTATCACGTCCACGTTTTCTAATTACTTTAGTAGGTTACTGACAACCCATTAAGAAAGTTACTCATCAACTCATTTTGTTTGATAACGACAAGAGTAATTGTACTAATTGTTGTAACACGACACGTGACAGCTATAGTAATTATGTTTGGTGACGGACGACTCACGGTTGTGTCGAGGCTAATTCAAAGCTTTTAATTTAAATATTCAATTAAAAATTACTTGTGTTTTAACACTAGTGCACTTTGTTAATTTCAATGTTTCTGTCTTTGCAGGGAATGGCTACTACTTCGAGAAGCAGAAGAAAAGTAAGTTTTAGTTTAATTTTTTGTTACAAATGTTCACACTTTTCCCGCGTTGTTTCAATTTTCCCGCGGTTTTCGGTCCCAAATGTTGTATGTAACCTCCTTAAATAAAAATGTATTACATACTATATTTATAGTTTGATGACTTCGAAAGATTAATGAGTTAAATAAATAAACAAACTCTTAATAATATTAGTGAAGCTACTTCAATTAAAGCGTTATATTGACCCAATTTATAACGACCATGCTTCATCACCTCACTATATCTCAATGTAACCTGTATTTGTATCAAGAATAGGTGCCGTCCTTTTACATAGATCTCTGTTTATGTTCTAGGTGAAACTTTAGTGAAGGTCTTTCGCAGCTTCGTACAATAAATAAGAATAAACATTGCAAAGTCGTATATTACTGTTTGGTGTGCTTTTACTGTATCCCTCGAGGACATACCTATGACATTTGTCTGTTCACATGAAATGTGGGGAATCTTTCAAAGCGCCTCTCACTACCCGCTGCCAAGGGTCGACAAGTATGCAGCGTATGTTTGCTAACATTTCACAACTATGTAATTTGAAACATTCCTCGACGGCTTTGGTCATTTATTTTGAACATTTTGACCTGCTCGAAGCTCAGTGTTTTGCTTAGACTTGCTACAAAGACTGGAATATATTCTGTAAAGATCGAAATAACCGACGTGGGTAAAGTACCTAATAGCATTTACTCTACCTTCACATGTGTTGGTGATGGTCGTTGGCCGCCTCGGAGTCATGCTATTTAAAGGTCGTCAGTGTAGTGTTTTATAAATACATGTGAACTATTAACATTCTTTTATTTTTATTCAGAGCATCTGATAAACTACGTACTCATGTAACTGTCAAGCTCGTTTAAATTAGTAAACGTATAATAATAGAGAGACGCCGCGCGCCGAATGCCAAACCAAATAAGAATTCTAATTATCAGAAAGCTCCAGCATTCAAGGCGTATTGTCTATTATTTGTTGTGAAGCTCAACAATTGGGTCAATGTGACTCAATAGCTCATACAGTTATAATTATTAATGAACAATTATTTTGGTGCGCAATATGGTATTTCTCTCGTAAAACTATTTTAATTTTAGGATCGCGTTGTACTGATATGACTGTATAACAATAATACAGTTGATTTAACGCGTTCTTTGAAGCGCGGCGTGTTCGTCGTCCACTCGTCTTAAAGCCCGATACATCACGACTCGGTTTATTTACCTACAAAGAGTTGGGCATGTCACATTTTTTCACAAAGCGGGAGGTGTTTACTGGCCACGTCGCGAGTTGAGGCCGTGCCAAGCACGACACGAGCTATTTCAATGCGAACTCCAATCGGTCGCTCTCGCACACTCGCACCCCACCGCGCTTTATACCGCTAATCTCTCTATCAATCATTACGATTATTTTTATTTAGACTACTTTTCCTCATGAAAAATCGCTTTTCACGCAACGCGTTCATGTAGGAAATATAGATTCGGTTCAATATGGGTCAATGTTAGTGAGCTTTCGTATAAATCTTTGCTATTTGTATCTGTTATTATGATTTAAGATTAATATTATTATCTGGCCTTAAATAATTTTATTGCGGTAATAAACAAATAAAACACGAATTTAGTGAAGAGCGTGGTTCTATATTTATATTAGTTTGTTTGTAAAAGCTTATTTCGTATTGGTTTTTTGTGCTTGTATTTAATTAGGTCGTCACAAATCACTTACTAATACGATTTGGCATGGTTATCAGCCAATATGAGCAAATTGGCAACAGACGCCGTGATCACGCGCAAGCTATGTCAAGGTTACATGGAACGCCTTATTCTAATTTATGGTGAATACTTCATTACTGTAAATATTACTCCAAATGTAGATTAAATGGGAGTAACTACAACCACCCCTGTAATCTTACATGTACACACACAATAGGTCATATTATATCTGTTAGGTACGACTTTTATGAGTCATTTTCTGGCTTCTTCTTTTTTTAATGTAGTAGGGGTGTGCGCTCTAAATCCGATCATACAATATTTAAATTCACTGGGCAGTGATGGACGTTGCAATCTGAATGAAAATTGATTAAAATTCTATATTTTATCGTGGCTTACTAAGGTAGATAGGGACACTGATACTATTTGGTAAATTGATTTAGTTTAAGATCCGATGTGACGTATGTTTATGCTTAGCAATAAAAATTTTGAAAAAATAACTTTTATTAAGATTTCCAAATTTAAATTATTCATTCAGACTACTGATTTTTTTTCTGGAATAGATCGTTGAAAAAAAAATTGAAATATTTTCTTAGTTTTTTTAAATATATTTCTTTTATTCTTCACGAATCGAAAAGAAGTCGAAATATATAATTGTAACAAGAAGGTAAACTTAGATTCAATGTAATACCTAAATCAGAATATCGGTATCAGACAAGCTAATAATAGGTACAATAACTCGCTCGTGGGAATGTCGGTGATAACGTTCTGCAGTAGCATTTGCGTATACTTGACAAAAGCAACAACCAATTAGATAGCAGAGATATAGAAGGTGCCATAAATAAAATAGAAGCACTAGATAAGCCAAACAAAACAAGGAGGTTACATCTAAACTTCATGCACTTACTCGTGATCGCTGGTATGAGACTATTCCAGCATTTTATGTATTACTCCAAGAAGGTTCTATGTATTACGCAAGTTAGGTACTTCGTGTCAGGGTTACATACTCTGTACATAGTTCTCAAAGTAGCTGTACGAAAAATCTGGGTGCTTGCACTTGTATCAAGTGCATAGTTACCTTATATTGAGGCACTCAAGTTGAGAACAGTTTTAGCTCCTGGCAACTTTACGTATAAAAGTTTATCGACTTGGGTTTTTTTCAGGAATATTCTACTTTATAAGAGGCATTAATTTATTCGTAGAGTCATTGTGTATAGGCAACTACGTTCCGTACAACAAATGCCAGTTGAAGTACTGAGTGGTCTGCGTCGGAATTATTTATTTTGATTTTTGATCACATCCGATGGACATAATAACGCTAAACAAACATGTTAGGTATGTTGCATTCGTTTCTTAATTAAATAACAATGTTTGGACGCTATTCAATTTAATGACAAGAGAAATAAAGATATCTTTTCAATAATTTAGATATTTGACAGCGGCTAAGTCGACAATGGCTTGGCACAAATCGGAGCTCTGTGTGGTCAGGATTTTAAAAGTTTCTTACAATGCTGAGTATTTTTTTAAATTTTTAATGGGAAGCATGGGCGGTAATATCATGTGGGCAGGTAGACATAGCGGAGCTTGGAGCCAAATGCAGTAGTAGTAACATGTTACATTTAAAGATCACAATGGTAATGACATGGTCCTATAAATAGGGGCGTCTGCGACCGCTAGAACAGTTCATTTCTCTGCGTGTTTAGTCGACGCAGGGAAATAATCCAGCCTGCCCGTCACCAGCCCGTCACCGACGTAACTATACCCTCGCACCATGAGCGATGTACGTACCAACGACCCCTCCCCTTTTCACAAATTTGGCAATCCCATGTAGACAAACGTATTATTATTTTCACCAGATAAGCATGCTTTATTGATCAGACAATAGTCCGATAAAACGAATGACAAGATTGATAACAGCAGCAAATTGATAAAAAAAATCAGTATCTGTCCGCATTATTTTCTTACATTACTCGTTAATAAACACTGCGCGTTGGCAGTGCAGTCGGACGCGACATAGATTGTGAATTAGTGTGTATGTCTGATAACAGTGCGGTGTTTGCTCCACAGCAGGAAGATGAGAAAAAGAATAAGAAGAAACAGTCGCCGGTGGACGACCGGCCCGTAGTCCCGGCACCCAGCGAGGCTATGCTCAACAGTGAGTACTACATCTACACAGCATCCACACTCAGCCACTCACACATCTTTCTGTATCACCTACTTTCCAAGTTCCATTTACCACTTCGTAAATAATGAGCAGCACTCAAACATTTGGATATTATTCAAAACTAAATATTTCGGATAAAATGTTTTTTATTTCACAATTTATCATTTGCTATGCGACGTTTCTGAAAGATTTACTTTAAGATATTTTTCCTGTTTTATATTTTAAAAAGATTTTTATTTAGTTGTGTGTGGTAGTATATAGATTATGTTTTATTTATTTCGTTAGTGGTTAGTTGAAATTCGCCATAAACTAACTTGATATTTTAATTGATGTTTACGCTTTATCGCCTCATGGGTTGACCTGAAAAATGTGGGTTTGGGCTAATTGTATGATCGATTGATCCACCCACACTCGCTGTTCGGTGCCAATGTATAAAACTAGTCATTGTTTATCTTTGTACTGTTTGACATCAATCAGAACTATCGTTGTCACTTCCAGGAAAGTCCATTTAATTGGTTACGTTGACTTCATTGTTTACTTTCTTCAGCGAATGTTGTGTTTCACGGATTTAGGAAATCACAATCTTTACAGATATGTGAATCACTTTAATGTAAGTCATTTTGAGAAAATAATATTTTTCTTTGTCTATAAAAGAGATTAAGCATGGTGGTCACGAAATCTTATCTGGATGCAAAGCCAAACCAAAAGGAAGTATGACGCACAATAAAGATATGTCATTGTCGTATTTATGAAGTGAGAACATACTATGTAGCTATCTATTGTTTGTTACATACAATAAATTATTACAGAGCGATCAAATTAACAATGAAATCAAGTGATAAGCTAATCATTACGTTATTTATTGCCAATTTATTTTTAGTCTAATTGTACGAGTACAAAGCTACAGCTTGTCAATGCAGATATTTTATTAAAAGTATCTAATCTCGGATTAAGCAGATTGATTAATGAATGTAGAGTGGGCGGGCAAATTTGAATACGAAAGAGATTAATTTCGACAAGATTTATTAAACAAATTAGCAAATAACTGCCTTCGTTGAAATGCGATTAAAATAGAGCTGTCAATAAATTTTAAGAATTTAGAAATATTCTTATAAATTATTACTTTTAGCCATTATTTTTCGAAATTTAAAAATGCTAGAATTTCAAAACGTCGGTGGCGTTGAAAAACGTACCTTACCGCACCGTACCTTGATCGTAGGTTTTCAAGACATTCACTCTGATTTTTCATATCTAATTCAATAATTTCTTTATTATTTAATTAGGTTTCAGACTGTTAACAGCACAAGTGGTCGACTAAAATACGCAAATTAAATCGTATAATTTATAGCGTATAACAGTCAGGAACTGAAATCCAACCATCGGTTCCAAAGAATACCCCTACATACAAACTTAAAAAATTTACCTCTTTATTATATCAGTAATAGATAATGTAAATAATTAAATGACGCTCCTTTTGTTTTCTGTTTTCACACAACACCTGTATAACTTGCCTTAAAACTTCATAGCTAAAATACTGGGAAAAAATATTCATTATGCCCTTGAACGTTGCATGCGTGGATGCACGTGTCAGGTTAAGTACCGTGTCATACTGATACATATTTAATCGCGATTTCGATTTATATAAATCACACTATGTATGTGTACATAATAACATATGTTATGATATATCTGCGAAGTGATATTGAACTTGAGTATTCTCATTTTAAGTGGAACAATTTGAATGTTTTTGAAAACAATTTACCGATAAGGGAGGATTGTGAGATTACTACAATTTAAAGTGACGAAGTTTAGGAAAAATTGCGTTTTTTAGATTACACACATGTGTGTGTGTGATAAATAAGCTGTGTATCTATGCAGATACACAGCTTATTCATCTACATGCACAGAACCAGTGTGCAAGTAAAATTAATGAAGATATTATACGGGTATTCCGTGATCGTTGTATGCTACCTAGGGAAATCATTGTGTAGTTTTAGGACAATTGATAAAAGAGTATATTGCTTTTAAAATATCTTTTAAATTTTTGTAACCTATGTGATAGCTCAAAAATATAATAGAAACGAGCGAGTGCATTTGATATTTTGTAACCAAAAATAACCACAACAAATTTCCTGGCACAAGAATGGCAAGAATAAAATATCTTTAAGCTTAGATCATATAATATGATGCTATTAACTGCAGGTACAGTCAGCTAAACTATTCATTGTTACGCTTTTTTGTTGATGAATGATGAGTATAAGACTTACTGAGAAAAATCTACCACTTCCATCTCCTATTTCGGGTCGGAGCCGCGGTACATATTACATTCGAACGTGTTAGCCACTTAATTAGTCTTCGGGACTTTAAAAAGATTTGGCTTTCTTTTTAAACTATTTATTATATGCTTTAGTATAACTACAATTTAACTAATTATTAATTATTAACTATAATACAATTTTAATTATTAGTCGTATTTCCAATAAAGAATTTTCGTTCTTTTATTCTATCTGCATCGCAAATACCTAGTTTATCTGCCTGTACCTATATATACACACCGTGAACGTACAATTCCATTATATGTATATATATCTACTGTTTGTATATTTCGTACACAAGACCAAATCCTCTAGCATGAGGACATTATCAATCACAAGTTGTTATCAGTGTGTAAACATTTGTACATAATGTCACGGTCCGCGCCGCCTGTTGGCTATCTACCTCTTGTGTATGTGATCATTAAAACATACTTAATACTACTAGTTTATGGTTGTATAGAGATTAGTGCGATATTATTTTGTCCTTCTTTCAGTTTCGTGTTCTCTGGTCGAAACATGAAGTTCAATGCCGCCATAATAGGCATGCCATTCATACCTTTTTTCCATGTTCTAATATCTAGATAATTTTTTAGCACACTAATGATTCTGTATATCTCTTATTTATTAGAATGCATCCCAAAAATTGCCATTAGAAATGTTTATTTAAATTTATTGTTTTCAAATTATTTTGTACTAACGAATTGCACAATGCTGAAACAATTTCTCGGTAATTTAACGGATGTTATTACACATAATTATACATACATAAACATTCCTTTTCAATCACTTTATCTTTTAAAAAACTGCATTTAAATCCGATGCGTAGTTTTGAAGTTAAGCGTATTTTATTATAGAGACGGAAAAGGCGATTTGTATTTATACTACTTATGTAGTGATTTATTTTAGAATTTCATAGTAGTACCTAATTGGTATTTTATTGTGTTTACATAAAATACTATAAAACTAAAAAGTAGTGATTAATAGCGAACTTTAATTGTATGCATGTGTTAGATTTTGAAAGTCATAGAGTTTGAAATAAACAAATGTAAGCATATAATATGCCATTTTATTTTATCTCAAACTAATATTATAAATGCGAAAGTAACGATTGATAAGAAATGAAATGTATATAGTAAATGCTTCTAAATTATCGGTGACTGTGGTAGATACATATTAATAAAAATAAGGAACAACCGTTTCAACATATATTATTTTTATTTATATAGGGCGGTAAATGATAATTAAAGTACATTATTTCATAATCTTATTTTATAAATCAAGGCAAAAATATTAACACAATAATATTTAACATTTCTTACTTCAATTCTAAATTAAGTACAATTATACACAATTTAATACATTATAACAGTTACACAAAATATGGGAAGATATGTAATATATAATAACAGTCATAATTACAACAATAATAAAATTATTAGAATAAATAGCTTACTCAACTCGCTAGATCCTCACAGCTCCGCAGCTCACGATCGAATGTGTGATATTCGACCGACGTGCTGTATTTATACCGAACGGCCAACGGTCGTTTGGCAGTTATTCAATTCAAATATTTTTTAGGTAAACAATTTGAATATTAAATTCACTAAAACATTAAAAACTATTATCTAATGTAAGTAATAACATTTTATAGCCTATTTACTTAAAAATAAACAACAAATTGTGATCAAAAACCATTAGTTGGCAATAATTAAATAACCTAACCTATCACATGCAATACGAAATTAGGTATGTAGGTATAGATAGCCGCCTTATTCAGTAAAGAAACAAAGTATGACGTAGATACAATGAACAATGTTATTGTATCCGACGATCTCCATCCTCGCTTCATACCGCTAACATCTGTACCAGGAACGTTTAAAATAATCATGTAAATCGAAGAAAATGAGTCGAGTCACGAAAAAATCGCGTTTCCTAGAACATTGTATGTATAGGTGGAGGATATTTGTGGAACTGTGGCGATACGCCGGGAATATCACTGTTTGGACGTACTGGTCATTATCACCAGAATTCCTATATAATCTGTGGTCTATTATAACTGGTCGCTAGGCGATTAACGTTTATTGATGGTTGCTTGGCGTTTTAATTGTGTTGCGTTTTATTTTTCGTTTGTGTGTGTTTAAGATATTTTAATTATATACAGCATAGTCTACTAGTCTAGTGATATTGGCCATAAAGACATAGTTAAGTTTTTTATATTTTAAAAATCGAAACTTTTTGATCCATTGATGAATATATTGTATGCCCTATGTCTAGCGGTCGACATTACATATTAGCCTAGTAAATAAGACTCAAATTTCGGTATTTGTTTGCTAATTAATGGGACCAACAGTTGCCTTTATGTTAATCCAGGTCATGGTTTAAGTAAATACTTAGTACTTTGTAGACCTTTCATCATCTTGATGGAACCTTCACATATTTCCAAGATTCCTTACTGACGAAATGACGTTGTAACATTATTTTATATGTATATTTGTTTTATATAAACATTTTAAGTACTATAAGCACAATTCTTTTTTTACCTGATGGTAAGCAATCGGCGTCGTCCATGAATTTCTGCAATACCAGAGGAGTTGTGAGTGCGTTGTCGGCCGTTTGGCGACATAATGAAGATATTAGATAATGTTTATAATTACTAAATTTTTTTTTATTATTGATGAATTTAATTCAATTGCTGGGATGACTGACAATATGTAATTTATAGCAATATGAAAATATTAAACATATCTACGAATGAAAAAACTACACAAATCACTTCACTTCAGAACAACTTTTTTTTTTCAAAGACTCGATATTAAAACTCTCTAGTCTACGGATGGATTTCGTAATTCACACATCACAGGCACAGGTTTTCGTAATGGGCTAATAAAATTAAAAGAACATGGTGTCCTCTGGTCTGATAAATGTCTAAGCTAAAATTAAACGAAGAATTCGGAAATGATGTCAGAAGTCAGAATAAAGACGATCACGTCTTTAAGCCATCTGAATTACATAGGATGGATAAGTTTGAAGCTGTTACTTAAGGCGCTTTGCACTTTGAGCTGTGTATGGGTGACAGATCAGATACTTTAAATTTCAATACACAATAATAAAGACCTACTCCAGATTTCAATTGTTCAAAAATCACAACAGGCGATTGTCGTAATCATTATTCCACGTTTTTTGTTCAAGGTCGCTTCGAATGACCTCTCTCTGGTTGGGGCGAGAAGGAATGTCAGATTCTTACTGACGAATAGTCACACTTTTTTCTTTTTCTTTCTCAAGAAGCTTTAAAGCTATAGCTATTCAATTTAACCGTCAAAACATAGCAAATCTAATTTCTAATGTCGGTGATAGTCAACAAGATGTTGACACTGCAATCGATTACTAAGTTAGTTGGTAACTGGTGCAATTAACAAGTATTATCATAATTATTATGATTAATTGCTTACCATTAAGAATGATCAATTTGGTTGTTGAAGATTGCCATAAAATTGAGGCAACCACACACATTTTACGTATCAAAAATGAAATTTTATAATCCTTTGTTCCCATAAAAGTTAATGTTTTAACCTTTGATTCCATTCTGTTGATAACTTGATGACGAGGAGTGGCCATGGATTTAATATTGTCTCCACTCTTTGAAATTTTATCCCTACATTACAGTATATTTAAATTCAATCTTAATGTAAAGAAGCAAACAGAACATACATAATAACAATAATCGTCACTGAGAATAATTTTAAAATTAAAAATGCAAGTTTAACGGTAACATTTTGTGAAAAATGTTTCGGAAAACAAGAACAATGAAGTAGTGACGTCCACGTTACAGCTGTATATCTATAGAGGAAACCTTGCTTGGCTAACATCAATCTTCTCTTTAAAGATTTAATGACTAGTTTTACGTGCTACATTTTTCTATTTCGACATTTCCATGTTTCATCCAACGTTGTAAATGCTCTATCTGTCCGTCTGTTGATGTTTTCTTTTGTATAGTCTTATCTAGATAGCAATGGCTCAAAATAATTTAGTGCTGAGATAAAACAAGTACGCGTAACAATATTTAATCTTTTGTCAATATTGCCAAGTATGTATATGACGAGACGAGACGACTATTTTAGTGAAAACACAGTGTGGTGTAGATAGGAAAGGTACGAACGATCGCATCTTGATAAAATTTGTGATAAACGCAAGATGTGCTCGAACAACGACTAATGAAATATAACGAGTCAGTGAATTGTTATCGATTACAATAATTACAACTCTGATGACCATGAATAGGGGTAATGATTTCTGTGAGTAAACTGTCTGTTATTTTGTTTTTCATATTTTTTCATGGGAGGTATTATTGTTCGAAAAACGAGCATACGAATTACCTGATGATAAAGTAATTGCCGTCGCCCATAGACAGTCGCCATACCAAAGGCGTTACTACAAACACTCGTATTGTTATGGTTTTAAGGATAGTGAATTTGGGGATTGAATATGGGGAGAGAAGGATTTGGCTCCCGGTAACCTCCACACTTGTAGGTTGTGTTAGTGTGACTTTTCCTCACTACATTTATAGCACGTATTTACGCGTGTAGTAAAAAGGTTCTTACACCATTTTACCGCCTTGTTTTATGACGGTAAAATGTTGGTTTTATTGTAGGTGCCTTTCTGGAAATTCTGGTTTAATCTCAAATGTCTGCGAGAGGACTCATAACTCAGAGAGCGTAATTTCTGGGCGCATATTAAATAGTTTCTTACCTTGCGATCTTCGGACTAATTTTTTGCTTCGAGTTTACTTTCTGCTTACAATTTCATGGCAATCGTGATTGTGTAGGTAGTATGTAGATACTCTTTACAACATACCCTTGAAACACAGGTGTGGCGCATTTTATTATTTCGTAAGGTGCAATACGGAAATCCCGGCTACGCCGTAGCAAGTATTTGGTCCTCGAAGGTTACTTGCTACGATTGGCGTAGCTTATGCTAACTTTGAATGGCTACGTCGTAGCATATTTTCTGCATAATTTTTTTTTATAGTATTCTATTGAAAATACTTTCACCGCGGCTATTGTTAAATGTTCGTGATTTTCGAAGCTAAAGTGTTGACACTACGATAGAGTATGTAAGGGGGAGGAAGGGTGACATAATAGCTTCAAGCTACAATATCTCAACATGGATGCTCCATTTTCTTGAAACTGTTACGGGAGACTTACATCATAAGATGTTTTCTGTCCCACTTACTAACTTGTTTGTGCTTTTGAACTAAAACTACATTGAAAACTTGAAGGATTTTGACAATAATTATGTCTGTTATTCATCACAACGTAATATCATTTAATTTTTCCGACAGTGTAACTTCTTGATCCATAAACTTCTTCTTCTCCGAGTTTTTATTTAAGTGCACGTAGGTAACATTAATTATTGTTTGTTTTCTTTCAGATCTGCGCACAGCATTCGGTCTGCTGGACCGAGACAGTGATGGCCACGTGACGCCAGCCGAACTGCAGTTCATGCTGAGGAATCTCGGCATCACCGTCAGCGACGACCTCATCGCTGAACTCATCAAGGACGCCAGTAAAACTGGTTAGTATGTTATCATAAATAAATAAAAATAAATGTTCTTTACCGTTGGTACTTACTTCCAAATTGTAAGATATTGGTTAACTAAACTAAACAAGAAATAAAAAAATATACCTACACACAAAAAAATAAAGGAAGAGACTTTTACTTTCAAATGTTTAATACTTACTTTGTTTAGTCGTAGACCGAGTGACAGAGACAGAGTGGACCACTCTGTGGTTATCTTTAGACATATAGCCCAATTTCATTATACATAGCAGATTTTAAATATAGAACATACATAACCTAAACCTCAATAAACAAATTCGACCAGAACAGAATATTTACGACGTAAAACGCAATAATTTCACGTGAAATTATTAGTGAGCAAAATTGGCCCTAAAACTGACTTTGTCAAGGTAGACGTTTGTTTCTATAATTTTCAGTTGGCTAGCCAAAGCAAATAACGTCATAAATATGGCGTCTCACGCTTTGGTCGCATGCAAGAAGCCCATCATAGTTGGTAATGGGCGCGGAGTGTAAATCGTCGTGGTTTGCTTGCAAATGACGACGCATCGACCCGACGGCGGTCCTGTCGATCATTCGACAGGCCAAAGGGCCTACCATGACGAGTACATGGTCCAGAAAGAGGGATGGAGCTATAAAAGGTGTATAGCTCCATCCCTCTTTCTCGCTCGGAAAATACACGATTTACACGTTATGGTAGGCCTACAGTTCACCATTACTTCCTATCTTACTTATACCTATATAGACAAATATGTAAGTAGTTAGTTTACAATGCAAAGCGACTCGAAATTGCCCGTCAATTATTCCTCGCAGCTTATACACAAACCATGGCATTCGCGTGATCCCATCAGCAAGTTTGTTTTAATTAAAAAATATTTTTGTTATTTCTTTCCTTATGAAAATACCACAACAGTGTAATTCGAAAGGTGAAGGTTTTCTAGTACATAGTCCTACCAACAAGTTGTTTTCTTTAACAAGTTGATTTGACTTTTTATGCTTAAATAAATATTTATGAACGATCGTCGTATTTTATGACTCAATAACATTTGGGAGGCACGCACACGGTGTGTTGAGGTTACGGAGTAATATGAAATACCTACCCACATATGAAAATTTGAGACGATAATGTCATTTATCTAGGCGCAATTTCCTTTGCACAACCTTGTAGCGCGTCCGTGACAGAGGTCAAACTTCAATAAACTTTCTAAATCTAGGCTACAATATAAGAAAACAGAATAACCTATGTAATTATTTATAAATATTAATGGGACTACACATAATATTAGACAAGTCGTAAAATATCCACTAAATGACCGCACTATTTAGTTTTTACATTGAATTTCATCCCACAGCGAATTTTGTGACATTCAATAAAATATATAAATTATTACACACTGCTGTACTCTGTTTTATGCTAGCAAGTGTTTTGTGATTGTGAATGCCAGTTACAAAGAGCACGGAGCACAGTTAAAATTAAAATCTGTTTACATTATCCTGATATATTGCGTCATATAGTAATTGCTGAAAGAATGTTGGCATAGAAAATGGTATATGAAAACTTTTGTAAAAGTAGACGCTCCAGTAATTCTCCTCATTAAAAATACAAAGCGTGATCCAGTAAGTTTTATATTGCCTACAGCATGAATAAACAAAAACTGATTAAATCGATGACGCAGTTAATTCGGAGGGTTATTGTGAAATGGCGTGCGCGCCAACTCGGGCGGCTTCCGGCGCGCGCGACCCTCAACCTGCCGATTGCCGGGGTGGTACCTAAGTACCCGTTACCTGCGCTTTTCCAAGTCGTAGTGACGTAATTGATAAAGTTCCACTTGATCACTCATCACTGGACTGCCTAATTGGCTATATAACTTGCTTCATTACTTTGCGTGCCCCAAGATAGGTACTTTGTTAACTTTTAGTATTGCAGGCTTGTGCCATAAGCTAAGTGATTGACGGCTTTATGGCGCCTTATAAAACTTGTAAAAATAAAACAAGACTTGACTTTATTGATAATAAAGAGCACAATATTCACTCACTATTTATTTACTTTACGTCCCGCAACCAGTAGGAAGGTACTTCATACTTGCATTAACAAAGCAATTTACATTGTAGGTATGTTTGTTTCTGCGCATGATGCCCGATGTAGGCAGCTCTTTGCCAAATGCATAGTTACATACTGACACACCTACAATAAATAGTTTTCCTTAAAACTTACCTAAAATTAACAGCTGTTGTCAATGCCTCGATAAACCATTTTCGCGGTCTTCTGTTATTTACTTATTTCCGGAGATAAGTAATCGCCGACTTATCTGATAATAAGTGAAGATAAGTGCAGTAGTACACGTAAAACTTATTAAATTAAATCCAGACATTTCAGGGCTTCGGAGCCGCTATCATGAGAGCGGGGTACCCCCACGCCACGCCCGCTCTATCTACCATCGCGCCCTGGTAATCTCTTGATCCAATCAGATTGTGTCCTAGCCGCGCACGAGGTTAACATTCTAAACACGATAGAAAAACTATCCATTAATGTGATACGAGTTTGTCACGTTCCCGCGCGCCACTGTGATTTATGTGTATCACGCCACCGCTGCTAAATGTATGAAGATTCATGCGATGCATAAATATGTACCAACCTACTACTCGTATGTAGACAAATAACGCGCTGTCGTCTAAGATACCTACTTTAAATTATAGTCTGCTTCAGGAGCTATTCTAGAAAATAAAGGTGCAGCGGACAGCCACAGGTGGTGCTGAATTCCCTAAATGTTGTCTACGTACCGTTTCTACCTCTAAAAGCTGCACATCTGGCACGCTCTGCATAAATTTGAATAAATTACCTCCAGCAAGATATTCTAAACATCCCTCGTATTAAATATAAGGATAATTATTTTTGTTTATTGGCAGGAACGAACAATAATCTTAGTAAGCAACATAAAAATATACTGCGATCGTAAGACAGCCTACAATAATAAAACTTTATGAATGACGAGGTCTCACTTTATGGCTAAACATTGATAATGACTGTTATAATTAACTGGAATTAATGCTGTAAGCAGAGGGCGGACTGCTGACGTCAGGACTTTAACGACTTTCCCTGCCACCGCGTTAATTAAGATTTAACGACTTTAAGCCCTTTTGTTAATTGTCACATAACATTTTGTTACATATTATTTTGGGTGATTTTATATTATTTTAATAATAATAATGGTGGGGCGTGCGTTTATTTTGTCGTAAATCTTTATCTGTGACCTGAAAAAGGTTTTCGTAGGAGGTTGGTGGTGTTGTGCGGGTTGGAATGCCGGAGCCACATTACGAAAGAAAGTCGTTAAAACGTGTAACTGTTCATGTTTGTATGGCTTTACGGCACGGGGGCAGCGCGGCACGCTCTTTGTTCCCGGATTATTCTGTAATATTTTACATAATGTTTTATGAACGTGTTTTGCAACACCTTACAAGATAACGTTTGTATTTTTTCATTCTTTGTCTGTTACATAATATCCCGTTTGGTTGTAATGGCAAAATTATAGCTGCCCCGTGAACTACCTACTTAGTTCTATCATCGTGGTTTGGATTTGTTGGTGTGTTTTTTTTAAATCAAAGAGCCAATTGTTCTCCTAGGTAAAACTGTACTTACCTACATAATGTTAACAGATTATTTCAAAACTGATGATTTTGAACGAAAATTACTCGACCTATATTTTATAATGATTTTTATTACCTACTCACTAGAATTAACTGAGGACAGCTCTAGATATTAGTTTACAGCGCATCTAAACGACGAGTTTCTTCGCGATGGCACTGCGACGCGCAAACGTCTCTGGTACATAAAACTCCCATTACCACTTGAAATTAATAGAGCTGTTCTCGGTTACATTATATTATATATTTTAACTTAATGTATGATATTATATAAATTGCAATGACTGCAGGTAATGGTCTGATAGACGAGAATGACTTCATGCAGTGGGTGACGAAGATACAGGCGTTACAAGGGCTGGACGTCACGACGAGCGGCGGCGACTCTGAAGAGGAGATCACACGAGATCTACTCGCAGCATTTAAGTGAGTACCCACTACATACCATCGTATTTATGTATATCTATTATAATGACCTGCAGATCATTAGGGATCAAATTGATTGGAGGTGCTGGAGTGACGTAGTGTAAAGTTTCAGGCATATGACTATGTAATTTATATCCACTCACGGAAATGTCAATCTTATAATTCTTACTTTAAGTTCTAAGGCTCATCAACTAAACAAAAAAATTGAAACCTAAACTCTATTTGTAATAGGTAACCTATTTGTAATACTTCTATTTGTAATAGGTAACCATCATCTCCTTAAGCGTCTCAAAATATTGATTTATAATTGAAATAATTCCAGGGTGTTCGACCGCGATGACAACGGGTATATAACGCGGGACGAGCTCCGGGCAGCGTTGGAGATGATCGGCGAACCAGTTACAGACGCGCAGCTGAATCAAGTCCTGGCGCTCGGAGACATCGATCATGATGGCAGGATTGATTATGAAGGTACATTACCAATCAACCGTTTTAATGTTACACGTTGTTTATAACTTGCTGAGTGTAAGAAAGAACAAACATTGTGTCCAAACTCGATGGCAGCGCCATCTGTGCAATAAACCTTAGCCATTTCAGACCGTTGGGAGGGATAATTAAGTACACGTTACATTCACTAAGACACTTCGAAGAAAGATGAGGCAGTCTACTATTAATACCTACAGGCTTGTGTTTTTTTTGTTTTCAGAATTTGTGAAAATGCTGTTGTAACCTGTACCTCGCTGAACAAGACCTCACTAGTTATAATGTAGTGTAAAGACGGACGGTTGGCGTCGAGTGGTACTGATCTGATTGCGAGAGGGGGGTGCGGCAACGATACCCCATTCACAGAAGTCACAGATCATATAAAAGTACTTAATAGTCGGAAAATGTTGAATTGTTGTACATAGGAATAATTTTGTAATTAATGAAATAACAAATAATCTGTAGTTACTAATTTAGGATATTAATGTTACCGATGTATAAATTAATATATATTTTGCATACGTAATTTGTTTATCGAATATTATACCTACAATCGACTTTATAATAAAATGGCCTAAGTAAAACTCGATCTATATTTTTTAATAAAAGACATCAAAACATGGCTAAATCTTACATATACTTGTGAACAGTTCAATATAAAGAGAACTTCAGTACAAATATTTCAATTTATTTAAATGCTGAATTTTAAAAATTGTAAAAATATCTATTTATTTACTCTTAGTGTAAGACCTTAGCAATTTAGCGCATTAGTTATTGGTAAACCGACCTATAAACAGATTGGAATTATTATATTTTCATATAAAAGAAAATCAGACATCCATGTAACCAAAAACACTATTTGAGTAGTTTACATCGATAATTCGAGGACTTGAATGCAAATATCTACTTACAAGAATATTAATATAATAATATTGTAATTTTATGGTTGTGAATGATAAGTTACAACAGATTGTTATACTTATGAATTAAAGTGGTATGAGTATTGATTACTATTATTTTTTTATAACGCATTTTGCACACTAGCGCTATAATTTTATTATAATATGCGCGGGAAGCGATATCCTTGGCAGCCAGTTTTAACCGCCAATATACGAATTAATACAAATTCAAGGGGTGTAAAAACATGCGTATCGACTCTAGTAATTGAATAAATTAATTAAATAAACTATATAATTGTGAAATTAACTCTGTCTGTCTGTCTTTTTTTCACGCAAGCCTAAACTACTGAACCGATTTCTGTGAAATTTGGTACAGACATAGTTTGGAACTCAAGAAAGGACACAGGATAGATTTATTTATACCATAAATCTGCAGGAAGTCACTATTCTACGCGCACGGAGTCGCGGGTCTATAAGTCTAGTCTATAAGTATATAAAATAACCCCTATGGTAATAAGGAACTTTCTGAAAGTGAACATATCTTTTCAATAAGTGTTTACGTTTTTGGATCTCACCAATTTCAATAGAGGCTTTCCTACACACGAAAATTTCCCTACCTACCTACCTACCTACCTACCAAAAAATGGCCGTACGACAAAAATGAAAATAATGAATTATTCTGGATTTTTTTAATTATTTTTTAATATACTCGAATTATGAAACCATGTTAGAGTAAGCGTCGATCAAGTAAAATAATTTAAATTTAATGTAGATAATCTAATTCAGTTAATCTATTCCTGCGATAAACTTGCCGAGAAAGTCGGTCGGTTTGGGCTCAATACTTGGACACCAATGTCTGATCATGTGACTCTTTTGTTGCCACTGATTTGTTACTTCTTTGAGCTCGATGTAGCCCTGCAATCATAATCGGTTTAGATACCTACTTATCTACCTACTTACCCAAAGGTAATTATAGAAATGCTTAGGTATGTAAAAACATATTCACAAGACATAGGAACGTAATTATTACCTACATTTATTTTATGAGGTAAAAAGGTTAGCTATTATTCGGATCACTTGACGGTAAGCTATCGATGCCGCTAACGGACACTCGAAATACGATGTTACAAGTGGGTTGCCGACTTTTTGGGAAGGGGATGGGAGGTCGGACTTTTGGAACCTAACCATATTCACACAGTTGACAAACAATACCTACATGCAACGTTATGAAAATAAATATGGATATTCTTATGTTTTGGTAAGTAAAATATGAGGAAATAGCTATTAGTTTTTTACCTTGATCACAAGTAAATCGATGATGCGAACATCCGTGATACAGGCATTCCTATAAAAATACTCTCTCAGTTTCCATCGGCAGTCTTCTTCGTTCTTCGCAATATCGAAATATTTTACTAAAAGTACAAGTTGAAATGAATTTTACAGTCGGAAGACAACGTACCTACCCTACCTACGTTACTTATATTGGGTTTAGGATTTTAATTTGAAAATGTTTACCTATCTTATTTATTATTTTATTTTCATTTTCCCTTACTAGGCCTTATTAAATGGGACTTGAGAAAAACTGGTGGAAAATGAGTACTTACATTTCTTTCAGGAAATAAAAAATATTATACTTATAATATTTTTTGACTTAAGGTTCATTTCTCAATCCATACTATAATATTATAAAGAAGTAAAATTTTTAAGTTTGTATGTAGGGGGTAATCTTTGGAACCGTTGGTCGGATTCTCAAAATTCTCTCACTGATAGATAGCTACAATGTTCCTGAGTGCTATAAAACATCACGCTACGATTAAATGGAGCAGAGCAGCGGGTGAAACCGCGCGAGAATAGCTAGTGGTTAGATAAAAGATAGTTGGGGAATAATTATGATGCTGTCGCGTCAGAATGTTTGTATAAGACAGTGACAGCAATAATTTTCACTTACTGATGTAAGGAATGTATCGATAAAAAGCCCTGTATAGTCCAATTGCACGTCTGCGAGCTTCGCAATAATCTTTGGACATCAAAGGTCTGACGTTCCTGAAGGCGGCTGCACGTGAACACATTTTGCTGTATCAAAAAATCTTTTATCTGAGGTCTTTCAAATTGTTTCAGTCGTTTTTAGATCAAAAACTGTCAATTTTGACGCGTTAGTCAACAATGTTTTACTCATTTTGCTTTAGGTTTATGTTACAATACATGTAGGTTTTATTATGTCATATGAGTTTAATATTTAAGAACAATAATTATTACAGTGCCTAATTCAAATTACCCAACCCTCTCCATCGCATTCCTTAGACAAAGTTTAAATTTTTACTTACTTATTACAAAACAAAGATCAGATCAGAGTGACTGATGAGTGTTGATTCCTATCTTTTATACCTAGTTCCCAATACATTTGTGATAGGTGGATGCATGTCCGCGCGCCTCAAAGATCTATCAGCCTGCCACAAATGGGGCCCACTGGGACCAAAGACAAGGGGTTGCAGGTGTAAGTGCAATGATGTACCACAGCGGGTTCCAAGTAAGAGAACTGCCTTCTCTGGGTTGGTTTTGAGTCAGTAAGAGTCACACATTCAATCCATAGGATGATTCTCTAATGATTCAAAAAGAGTTGCATATGTACTTAGTTGCTATGATGGTAGATGAGAATCCCACACTAGAAAAGCTAAGGCTTTCTCCTCATTAAACAAGGTGCCTTTACAGATTTACCCCATAGTACAAAACAAACTGTGCCTAAGCTATGGTGTCCATTTACTATAAGGTAGGACATAAGTTTCGTTGATATTAGTTAATTATATAAAAGATAAGGTAAACTCATCAAAAAACTACATTAAAATTGCAACAAATATTATTTCAAGGATCTATTTCTCAACACTTTGTTTATTACTTAGATTATGATTTGACTATGTACATATATCTATAATGAAATTATTTATTCATTGCCAGTGAAGAATTTTGAAAGGAAATCTTTTGGTTTGGGATCCTCAGTGGGCTTGAAGTATGCCATTACATGTCCTTTTTGTTTCCACATGTTTACTGTCTCCTTAAGCTCCATTTGACCCTGTAAATAGAATGAATGAAGAATGTAGATAAAATGAATCCATTTTAACACTACAAACATAAAATAATCATTAAAATTACTATTGTTGTTGTAGTACTTGTTTCTCATATATCTGCTATTTAGAATACACAGATTGAGTATAATTATTGCACAATGGAAACAAGTATAAGATGCTGTTCACCCATCTCTATCACTGTCAACAATTTGAAGACCAATGAACTGAATAATCTGTTGGATATTTTAATATAATGCCTGTCTATATTTATATTTATGGATTATGGAATCGGAGGCAAACAAGCAAAGAGGTGGTGGTAAGTGATCAGAGCCTCAAATGGAGACCAAAATACCAGGAGAATCACAGGCGTATTTCCAGCCTTTGATAGATCAATGTATGCTGAAAGTGTATGAATATGTAGAATATTTTTAATCAACCTAATACCAATTCACCTTAATAACAAGCATGTCAATAACCCTGACGTCGGTGACGTCTTTGTTTTGAAGAAACAGTTCCTTCAGCTTAGCTCGGCATTGATCTTCACTCTTTGGCATGTCATAGTCCATAACTGAAATTAAAAGAATACATTATTAAAGAACATAAAGCACAACAATATGTATCAGTAACAATTGGGAAGCTTGTCATCATCTTGATAAGTTAAATAATAATTTTTGTTAAATTAAAAATTTAGACTGTTATTGTATATATATCGATATAGTACCGATTAACAAATCTACAATATGGTTTATAAATTGACTCCTGTATATACAATCATTCAAGCTAAGCTGTTAAACATTATATTCAAGTTCTAAACATTTGTGCTAACCTAACTTATGTATTATTAAGTGCCCTCGCAAGTACTGTTTGTTTGCTAGTGCTTAAAGGAGCTAAAGGAAACAAGAATGCATTTAAAAAGTTGAAGATCCATTAATAGGATGTAAACATAAAACGGTTTGAAGCAGAACTGATGACATAACAGGCCACTTACCCATGTAAGGGATTTGGCGATACCAAGCCCTGTACAAGCTCAATACTCGCATTTTAGCCTCCCCATGATTCAAGGAAAGTACTGGCCTTACATTTTTAGTTCCAACTTGAATAGCTTTTCTAGCAGACATTTTTCTGGCTAAAATTAAACACTCGCGTCGCAAATTCGAAGTGTTTTGATATTGACAATGACATTTGAGGACTTGATTGACATTGACATGAAAGGTATAGTGTTGCTACAATCAAGTTAATAAAAAATGGTTTTGGCCTTCGTTTTTTTAGCATACTTTTCGTCTCAACTAAAGTATGTATTTTGACTTAATTATGTTCTCTAGCTAACTTAACTACAGCGGCAGTATAGCACATTTGTACATTCGTAGCATCCGCATACGCTTACGCCAGCGTACCTACCTACGACACTAAGAATTGATAGCGCTGTTGTAGGGGTTCCCATTCTCACAGATTACTATATACTAGTCGGCAATGCAATGGATCATAGCATTAGCGGAACGTGGGATTACACTACTCTATGCCAGGGATGTTAGGGAGCTCCGTAACCGTAACTGAAACTATTGGATATCCAATACAAAAAAATATCCGGTATATTATAATAATAACCGTAACCGTATCCAGTATCGGTAATAATCATTGCTATGTCCGTATCCGAAATTTCATATCCATAACATCCTTACTCTATGCTATCTCGATTTCATACATACTTTACTCTTAACGACAAATAAACCCTTTTTGCATATTTTTAATTTATTCAGTTCCCTTAAGTACAAATTGAAAGCATTATGCATTGTTCGACTAAATAAATTATGCATGTAGTCGAACTATAAAAGTGGCAGAATGGCGCAAAGTTTATAACACTACTAATCCTACTTGTCGGATAATGGCTATGGTCTCGTTATGTATATGCGGGGCGTTGTTTGTCGTACATTACAGCAACAAGTCGTGTCAACGGCCTTGCAAACACATTACATATGAATCACGAGCGATGTATCACGAAGTGTCTTTCATCACCCCTATTTCTAACTACCCAAAAAATTGGCGTATCTTATGGATATCTGTGAAACGGGTCGGTAGTCGTCCAAAAATTAATCTACCACAGTCTCGGACTGAAGCAGAAGGAACAGGGTGGTTTTAAGACCAGCCTGGCGCTCATATTGCCCCATCATGAGCAGAAGATGTCATAATTATGATTATCTTTAAAAGTAAAAAAAAAAATACTTTTATTATTTTTATTGTAAGTGGTACGAAATTAGGCACATTAAACAGTAGTTACGCCACTCTTATTAAGTAGGTACCTACTGTAAAACTTGAGCCCTGTGAGGTTTTCCAAGCAAGGGCTTTAGAAACTTATCGATATGAAAAATACAAAGTTTATTTGTGAATATTCGATTTTTTTATTTGTTACACAGTAAAACTTAACGGTAAACTAAACACGATCATAATACATAATTATAATTTTAAGCGTAACAAAATATATTTTTTTAAGTGTTGGTTGTGTGGTACACGGTTACATAATAATTATAAACCACTAAACTGTCATAGCAACTAAATACTAAATAACATGGTCGACATACCGACAATTGACAATATTAATATCAATTAGGTAACGGTAAAACGGGGTGAATAGATACACGAAAGGGGTGAATAGATGTTGGCGAATTTTCCTTGTATCTATTCACCCCTCTTCCGTGTCTATTTACCCCTCGAATTCTATTCACCCCGTTTTACGGTAACCAAGATCAAAGTTTTATTCATATTAGGTACATGCAAGAGCTGGTATACCTAGGGTGGTGCGAGCAGTGAGACTCCATCTTGGTGAGGTTGCCTGATGAACCGAAACATGAGACAGGAGATGCCAGATAAAGAAGTTAGCCGGTTAAATGTCCCGCTCCACCTAAAAATTTTAACACGACTGACGCTGATTACATTATATCGTCAATGGACATGTTCTAGCTCCAGATTTAGGTGTTAGCTCTGCACTAAACGGGTTAATCAAGTGGACGTCCTTCGTCCTGCCAGGCATATAAGTGAAGAATATATCTCTGTAAAAAAAAACATAAATATCAAAATACAGCATCATTCAACTCGACCATGATTAATTCAAACGTAAAGTAGGTACTATACTTACAAAAATGGTTTGCTAGGATAATAATCGTATTTGCAAGTGGGCCACCAAAGGCGGGTTTGCTCCAGTTGTTTAATTCGATTTCTCGTAACAAAATCATTCATCTGGTAATCGTGCTGCAAAAATACTTTTGTCAAATACCTCATTCGATTGCGATCTGGGCTAACGTAAATTAAGCCTGTTTATCTGCATACAATTGCAAAGATGATATTTCACCTGAGGGTTAGGTTCTAACTTGGTGACGCAATCAACTGATATTTGGGAACCAAATTAGCCTAAGTAGCTATTCGTTTTTCTTTTAGATTCTCTCTGATACACTATGATTGCGTGACCGGTTTTAACATCATTCCCTTTTCTGTCAGGGAAAAATCATCGAATGACTTCTCCCGCCCAGGGTAAGGCGAGCGAGAGAGAGTGTCAGACTCTTACTGACCGTACTACTGAGGCTAAGGAAGATCTAATAAATAAGTAAAGACTCTACCAATCTCTGCACTAATTGGCGATGTGACCATTTCATGCTCTTCAATTGCTTTAAAGTGAAAGGTATCGGTTTAGCACGAGCTCTGAAGTCCATGTGCTTAAGTTCGAGCCAACGGCGCTGAGACTGGAGTAACATGTTTTCTGGAACGAGTAATTTTTAAATTTAATTAGTAAAATTGGTACCTTTGGTACTATCAACCTCATCTCAAACTATAATAAAATCAAATCAGACTTACTATGCTTCTTAGGTGTTAAATTGCCCTTAACTCGATTTCTGGCCCATTGTTGAAGATTGTTGAGCAAATTTGCTTCTGGCAAATGAGGAATAAGTAATGGCGTTGTTTCCGCGAGATCAGCCAAAAACGCCTGAAAAAGTTAGGTTGTTAAGGTAAGGATAAATAAGTACTCAAGTTTAAGGGAACCGATAAAAATAACTTACCCCAATTAGTTCACTTTCTTTCAAGCCAAACGCGTTTAAAGTCGGCATTGATGGCACAGGCTGAAATGAAAAAAAATCTTACATAACTATAAAAAATGAAATAAAAAAAATCAATTCTAAGGAGTTTTTTTTAAGTAGGTAATGAAATTAGAACTAGAGTCTAATTTTTTGTATATTATAATATTAGTTGTATATCAATTAGCAACGAAACACATCTCACCGTAACTTGGTCCGATCTCATAGCTTCCTCGAATGTATCTTTAATAAAATCTTCCATAGAATCCAATTGATAAATCTTGGCTTTATCGAACCAGAACGGACCGTGTCTCGTGGGTGGATAAAAGTATTTTTCTTTATTTCGTACGCCAGTATTATACATATCGTATAAATGCCCACATTTACAGCGGGATTCGTGTAAATACTTCATTACTGTAGGCTCCCTGTGGGTTACTCGTTGTATTACTTAAAATGCCGGTAGGTAGGTAGGTAAAAGGTAATTAAGTGCTTTTCGCTGAATATTTCTAAAGAAATAAGTACCAACTACTTATTTAGTTTACCTATTAACATAAAGATAATTGTTGCATCTGAATTAAACAATATTTAAAGGTAGTCCCTCTGTGATAATGATCCTCACTAAGATATGGTGGTTCTGGTAAATAAGTAACTACCTAGTTATATGAAAAACAAAAATATGGTCGGTGATGTTTTAAATGTAGGTAACTGTTAAAGAGTGTTGTAGCAAGTTAATTGAAATAAAGCACCTTCTTGAAAAATCTCCAAAAGATATACTAACGAAACGAATAATACTTATATTCGAAGGTACTTACCATTTAGTTATACAGTCGCATTTAACATCACATTTTTCATTCAAGGTGCGCGGGTATTTCCAGAAACCGTCTATGCAAGTAACAGTCTCGCCATTAGATACAGCAATGCCATCGTTTATCGCAATATAACCGGTGGGTAATAAAGAAACATCTAAAAATGAAAGGGCACATAATAATAAAAAAGAAGCGCAGTATTAGTTGTCATAAGTCTAGAAAGTAGAGACTTTAAATAAAATCTCTTATGTACCAAGTAAGGCAAAGCATGATCCCTACATTACGAAGCAGATTGTTAGAAAATGTTGAATCTGCAAACCGGCATGATTCTAACAACTTAATCGAGCAAGCTGACGGATCGCCTTAAGAGCAATCAGCAATTTGCACCGTCAATGGACACCTGCAAATCTGCAACGGCGGTCTTTTGGGGGTAATAAGGTATTTGCTGATTGGGAAACTCAGGCATTGCATAGGGGGTAGGGGTACTGGACTATTAAGCTTCTCACACGACGAAAATGTATGTTAGCCATAATACCTATACTTTATTAAAAACAATATCTTACTAGAGAGTAAGTAGTGTGGTCTTCCTCCCGTAAAGGCAACTCCTGAGATGAGATACTGGACGTGTGTGAAGGGAGTCTTAAACCTGTGCTTCGGTCTCAACTTCAACATACGAAGTTTATTCACATACGCTATCATCTTTGGATCAGTGTTACCTGAAATAAAAACGGTTTTTTTTAAGTATTCTGTAATAACTAATATTAATGATAATGATTAGTTATTGTAGGTATGTTGGCACTATGTGATGGCTACGGTTTAAAATCAAACAGGGCAACCTGTTTGGTTTTAGTAAGCCAAGGTTCACAAACTTTCGCAAAAAGCAAAAATTTCATTAAAAAAATAAAAGAAATAGGAAAATATTTACGTAAGGTATTGGGTGCTTCCCAAAATTTGTAAGTGCAAGGTCTCTCTACTTCTTTTTCTTTTCTATTTCGCTCTTTACGTTTCTCCAACTGTAAGCAGAATTTAAAGTGCTTGTCAAACGGCGAAGCCCGCGAGTCCCTAAGAATCAGTGCGGAAGCAGAATATTTCATGAATACAAAAAATGTGTTAAATACGCATCAGTAGTTATGATCGAAACAATAGAGAAAATGTAAGCCGGTACTCACAAACAATGTACTCTTGCAAAGAACTTCAAGGCTCTGTAATTAATGAAAATTTTCTTTTTTAGTTATAGGTATATCAGTAATACCTACTTATTCTATATACTTACTTAAAAGGCACTGTTTTAAAGTTTTTAATTCAAATATGACGCTAAGGGCCTTTTCTAAATTTTGCAGGCTACCTTCTGAGCTTGAAGTATCTATCTGAAGTATAGGCAAAACTATGTAGATACCTATATACTCTGATATGCAACTTTTAAGAGCATGGACGCTTGCCGGACCAGCTTCTTTCAGCAGACATCAAGCTATTAATAAGTAAGTAGGTATGTACAAAAGCGACGTTTCTGCGGCCGTTTTTTCGCAACATTGAAACCTTTCGCTCAATCGCAAAATCACATTAGAAGACTTCTCTGCACAAACTATAAAGTACCTACTTATTCCAAACAGTATTCTTGGTCATTTTAGGAAAGCACTACAATTCGTGACCATTATAATTATGTACACATATCTACTTAAGCAGTAAGTGGTATTGGAAATGAACTTACTTCAGAGCTTCTTACTTTAAACTTATATGAAAGTGGCGTTGGCTTTTTCTTTTCCTTCTTAGGTTGATGAGTGGAATAAAATGGAACATGGAACTTTTGTAAGTATTCTCCATATTTTACCTTCGGGGGTGGGGCTTTCTTTTTCGCTAAAATTGATATTAGAAGTAAGAGAAAGAGTTCAACATTCTTAGATCTAGAGATAACTATGTAAATTCAGCCGGGCGGTTGCGGAAGCACGCTAATGTACCGCGAACCCGGTCTGAAGCAGGAGAAGGAACTGGGTGGTCTTTAGTCAGCAAAGGTCTGACACTCCCTCTTGTCCAAACGATAACTGTCAGTGTCAGACTCTTTTATAATTACCTACGTTATTTTCGCAACTCTAAAAACGATTTAACAAAGAAGATACAGTGGCGTAACTAGTTAGTAGGTACCTCGTTATATTAATCATAAGAATATTACTTGTTAAGTATTAGCAATTAGAATTAATCTGACGCGGGAATAGAACCCGGGACACATTGGTTTGCAACCGGCCATACAGCCACTGCGCTAACCGCACAGTTGAGATAATTTCCGTAGGTACCTATGTCCAGGATACGAATGCATACCTAGGTACATGAATAAAAATAAATAAAAACAATGTAGGTAAGTATGTATATGCGAAAGGAATTGAATCCACTTACGTTTTTTACTTTCCGTTGTAACATTTTTTTTGTTGTACGTTAACTTATCGAGCGTTTCTATACACTCTTCCATATCAATGAATACTAAACACGATATCATAATCATGGCGTTCATGTCGTATTCTAAAGAAAAAAGAAAAATAAAATAATTAAGTGTTTTCTTGGGCTCAGGCTGCAAATAAGCATAAGGATTTTCTGATGGTAAGCAATCGGCATTGCCCATGGACCCAAACCTTTTGACGAGTTGCAAATGCGTTGCCGATCTTAGGGTAATTCGGGGATTGCGAATAGGAGAAGGGTGGTGAGAGGATTGGAGTCAACTTCAATCATACGCTAAAACAAACGCTAGCGTTATTTTACGCTGCTTTTCTGAGCAGCGCTAGTATCACTCAATCGACCCGGCCAATTCATGACAAAGCATATGACTACCACACTGTAGGTAGGTACTTACATAAGTACAGTGTGGTCCGCACCTGCTGCTCTTCTGTTAGACCTCCACTAGCTCTGAGAGTTTCTATCTACCTTGGCCCTTGACATCACTAACGGAGCAAATAGACGCTGATACCACAAATAGGAATACCTAAGGGATCTTATAAAATAAGCGGAATCCATACGTACTAGGCAGTAGTTCACTTGGCGGCTTATTATAAACACCTTGATAAAGGTTCCAGAAAAAGACACCAGGGTCCTCAATACTTTCTTCCATAGCTTTCATTAAAATATTTTTCGATATTTTACACGTGATACCAAGATCTGACAGGGCTTTGCGCAACCGACGCGTCACATCTTCCAACAAATCTTGATGGATCATAAGTTTCATATGAGCAAGGACCTCCCTTTGTTGGCTTGAAAGTTCAACGTACCATTTAGGTCCAACCTCATTCTTCAGCCTTCTTTCTTTTCTTTTATCTAAAAAATAACAAGACTTAACTTTCGTTTCAGACTCAGAAAAATAAGGAATACAAAATGATAAAAGTACCTACATTAAAGTCTTCTCGGATATCAAGTTTTGTAGAATTATTTAAACAAGAAACTAAGGTATTATTTTTACTTAAATAAAAGGGTAAAATAAATGAAGTCACATACGCTTTCTTGCCAAGCTGTGCTCAACTGCCATACTCAGAGATATTAAATGACAAGTTAAACTATTTTTGGTAACAGTTTTGTTCAACATAATATGATAGAATATTAAGATAACAATGTTCAAATCAACGTTACCTTCCGAGCGAAAGTAAGCTTTCAAGTCCTTGAGATACCGAAGCCATTTTCCTACTTTCTCGTTGTATGGTTTTTTCGAGAGATTTTCTAGCATTTCCCTTTCTAAGTAAACCCATACTGGATCTTTTTTCTTAAAGTGAGGCTATAAAAAAAACTCCTACTACAGTCAGGTAAAATACGCCTTGCTGAATTATCTGTGACATTGATAAACTCGGTTTCGGTCATTGTTGTTGATCATGATATACTTACATATCTAGGTACCTACTTATTGCAATTTGTTTTTGATAATTATAGTAAATTCGTTAAAGGAGTCTTGTTTTCATTCACTTAGGTACCTATATTACACACACCTACTGTACAAATTGCCTTCCTTTGTATAGGTATGATTTCAAAACAAACATTGTAAGCTCTTGTTCGTAATTAAAATTTTTAACAATTCGTGACATCAAATCTAAAATATTTCTTTATTGACTCCCAGCCTATACTTAGCAGAACCTTCCAACTTATTTTACCGTTCGTCCTCAGTGGGGGCGAGCGACGAGGAAGATTTTTTTACGTACCTTTTGCTTCATAAGTTTACGAAATGGAGGCATAACAAACTTCCCCATTGTAATGAACTAGTAACTTGTCCTTGATCAAGAAAATGTAATTAGGTACCTAATTAAACTCAATGATAACACAAAAATTTAATTAATACATAAAATTTAATTCAGCAATTTTGACAATATTACAAAACTAATTTAGAATGAAAGTAATCCATAGTTGATGGATGTTTATGGTAATGAATTTCTTTTTTAAATAGTAATAGAAAAGAGGTTTCAAATCAAATGTTTCTGTGTGAACTGCCAAGATTAAATTGGGAATATAAAATTGCTGCATCAATGATCTTGTGGCTTTCATGAGGATTGCTTTCTGGGGTCAGGCAAAATTTACATTGTACATTCGGCGAATATACCACTATATTGAAAACTCTGCCTATCCTGTCGTAGATTAAAATGTCTAATGTCATTCATAACTGTTAAGGGTTTTTTTCAAGATATCGTAAATTGTATTAAGTATATCAATGTGTATTACAAAAACTTTATTTTAATTATTTTAGAAGACAAAAATAAAACATGGAAATATTATTGATTCAGAATATTTTATTTACATGTAATGATGTCACATATTTTCATTGCACACTCATCTTATTTAAACACCATAGATGTTGAGGTCTGAGACTTGAGTTTGGTGTTTAAGCATTAACTATCAAATGGAACAAAAAACCATTGAGTGTTTTCTGTTTATGAACTTTTTAAATTCATATTTTTAGTTTTATCTAAAATTTCTTTATATGGTGGATTGATGGGACTTTGTACAGGCTCTTTGTATTCATATGAGGTTTGCCCTTCCAACAATAGAGGGTATGATGTATCAGAGTCATATGCACTTAGGTCCCCACAGGCATTAAATGGTACAATGAACCGATTGGGACCCGTAAATTGATTAAAATCACAGTATTTATGGTCTAGCAATGGGTTCACCATGTTTGGTATATATCCTTCAGGTGGCTGATAGTTTTGACACACAACAAAAGCCTCTATGCTGGAATTTCTTGAACTTCTTGGCTTAGATACTGTCACATATTCAAAAAACTGCTTGAGTTGAGAATATAAAAGAGAAATGTCTTCTCCTCTAAATATTTTAGCTACAAACACACCACCAATTTTTAGTACATGGGTTGTTATATTAAGTGCAGCTAACAACAGCTGTGATTGCACATATTCGTCAATGTCGTGAAGTCCCGTTACGTCTGGAGCTCCATCACAAACAACTAAGTCAGCTTTCATTCCTTCAAACTCTTGAATAATTGCGTTTGCTGTAGAGAGTTTTGTGATATCGCCCTGTATCTGTATAACACCAGGAAGAGCTGCCATTGCTTGTAAATCTACAGCAACAATTTTAACGTCTTCGACATTGGCAGCATTTTGTCGCAGATTTTTTGTTAGCACTTGACTCCAACTGCCGGGCGCTGCACATAAGTCTACAGCGCGTGTTACACCCTTAAATATGTTGTGTTCTTCATTAATTTGCAATAACTTAAAAGCACTTCTAGCGCGCCAGCCCTCTTCTTTAGCTAATCTATAATAAATATCTCTTTTATCTTTCGAAGTTTTGCCCATGTTGTTTTAAGCAATTGTAGTTTTTGGTGTAAAATAGCAAAGCAAGGTAGAGTAGATACACAACAAAAAACACGCACACACTCAATAAAAATTGTGAATCAGGAAAATCTGTCAATGCCAAACATACCGACTGTCAATATGTCATCATTACCACATGGTGATCGCAAAAATACTCTCGTAGAGAGTAGAATTCCTTGCAAAAATAATACCAATTTTATTTTACTCTATGACAAAATGTCATTAATGACAGGTGACACTGACACAATTATGTAAAATTGACATGAAAATTGACTTCGAATGACATGTGAAGTGGATTATTTTATTTACCTATATTTTGCATCGCAGAAGATTATATTCTAATCAGTTGGTTCATTGGTTGTGTGCTGGTTGACGCTATCGTCCATGGATCCGTAATAATTGTTGTTAATTATAAGTTCTCTCTATAGTATAACATACCAGCGGTAATCGTATTAGGGGATTCGCCACTATTATTACCGTTGTTAGCGGAAAACCGAAATCATGGATCTTAGCAGTGGTTTGAAGTCATTGTTTTTAATGATTATGGAGGATTGGAAAATATTTTTGTGCCTTACAATTTTATCCAGCTTGTATCTTTATTATACAAGCACTTTTAATTTTTTCGAAAAACGTGGTATTCCATACAGAAAGCCAGTTATATTTGTGGGTAACTTAGGGCCTAGATTGAGAGGCAAACAATCATTTCATGAATTTCAACTTGAAGTATATAATTACTTTAAAGGAAATCGTTTTGGCGGTAAGTGGTACTTTTTTCTAAGTATATCTTTATTAATTTCTTTGTTTACAAAGACATTGGCAGTTTTAACATATTAAGTGGGAAAAATAAAGCACTACATCTAAAGTTATGCTTATTATTTAACTATACTATCGTGACTAAATATCAATTGTTTTTGTTACTAAATAGTTAGTTAATATAATTAGTATAGTTTATTTATTTGCATAACAACTCAAGTTCATAACTTTCTAATTCATAATAAAAAATACAAATCTGGTCATTAGAAAGTTTAATCACAAGAACCTTTCACTTTACTAGCTGAATAAAATACCAAAATGATGTTTGTGTCTAATTGCTAAAACATGAGCTTTCTTTATTTTGTCCTGAATTGCAAAAAAATGCTATGCTTATGGTAAAGATCCAAAGATACTTTACCTCATATTTTTATTTACAAAAATTATAACAAACTATCTAATGTCCAATCTAACTAATTCATGTTAGTTAATATAAAGTATAAAGTTAAGAATATCCATGAATTATTGTTGAAAATATTTTTTTTACATTACATTACATAATTACAGTTTAATTTTTCCTACATAAAAATGTTTATTAAAAAGACATACATTTTAGTTTAAATATTACAATTTCTAAAATAGTATAAAAACGTTAGCCATTTACGCCTTTTCCCCTTGCAGGAATATTTGAAGGAAGAAGACCACTTTTGACAATTCTTGATCCGGACTTAATCAAAGCCATAACAATCAGGGACTTTGATCATTTTACTGACAGGATGGCTATGAATGCCAAAGAGCCAAAGTTCTGGAGCCGTTCCCTTTTGAATTTAAAGGTATTTTGAATAATGGTTTTTATAAATGAATAATCACAAACCACTTAAATGTAATCCTCATAATTACTTATTTATTTTTAATATTCAAATGTCAGCCAAAAATTATAATCCAGACATGCAAAGTACAAGGACATAGAGGCTAATTCACACCAAGACCATTGTACTGCCAAAGCAAATTGTATAGCTCTAAAAAAAATAAAGTTGAACTGTTTTTCTGGTAGACAAAAGTCTAATTTAGAATAATAGTCTAAAGGTCCTAGTCCAAGGTACAAGGACTTCGAACTGATTCATACTTTTATGTGAAACCACCAATTATTCCATTTTATTGCATGACTTAATGGAAAAGATAAAAATACATATAATTAAGGTATCCTAACTACATTGTAATTTAGGATATTTTAGATACTAATTAGTTTTTTAAATTATTTATGTTCATCATCACCACACAACACATAAACTAAATGACATGGATCTTCTCTTTTATATTTTTTAACATAGAGAATCAATCCACAAAAAACTGATTTGTTTTTATAGTGGTCAGAGGTCACCTGCAGATTTAAAGTCCATAAGTCAAATGTCCAAGGACAACTCAAGCTTGTTTGGACTATACTATACGAACACATCAATTATCCTATTACATATATTCATAGGAGGCTTCCGGCGACTCGGATCAAATAAGTAGGACTGCGGTTCAAGTCGCCGGATACGTAATAATTATAATGTTATAATTTCCTTCCGACGACTGGGACCACTTACCGATGACATAAAAATCTATTACATTAAAGTTAAAATTAGTACAGTCAAAAGAAAAAAAGAAATTTATGTTAGTCATTGACTTGTTCTAGACATGATTTTTTTACCCTATGCGCTTAGTTAGATAATAAGCTACCTCATAAACATTTCGCACATGCATCACACACAAGGGGAATAAACATTTTATAATTTTGTGATGCTATCTAACTGGAGTCCACTTTGGAGGTTGAGTTCTAGCTCAGCAGCCTAAAGTATGATCAAATACTGTTTATTTTTGTATTAAAAAACAATGTTGAAAATGTTTCGTTTGACTGCACATTTTATATTATTTCAGAGTGGTCCCAGTCGCCGGAAGAAAATTATTTATTTTTTAGGGATCCGACGACTGAGACCTAGGTCCTATTTTTTGCGGTCCGAGTCGCCGGAAGCCTCATCGATTACATGGTTTATAAATAGCAAAAAATGCAATGCAATGTAATGTTGAAGATGTTGTTTGTTGATGATTCGAATTATAGTAGTATTTCTTTTTCAGGGATCAGAATGGAAAGCAGTCAGAAGTACATTAACACCTGTATTCAGTTCATCACGTCTCAGAAATATGCTTCCACTCATCGAATTGTGTTCTAAACAAATGGTACAGTTTCTACACCAATATGGTAAGTGTAGTTTGTATGATATAAAGTATGTGTTTTACTATGATAATGTCAATTAGGTTATTTGGATAATAATAAGAATAGTTACTGCGCAGTGAACTATTCTGACACAACTTATGCTAACACTGTTATAATAATTACGTGCCCATTATCTAATATCGCAAAATGTGTCGGTAAGCGCATAACTTAACAACGCCTGGACTAATTTTGCCAATTATATAATATTTATGATTTAGGAAAATTGGTGAAGGTACCCTTTTTTTTGTATGCGATATTATTGGACCCGACCGAAGTGGGGACGGGCCACTAGTATTGTATGCTAGCTCCTACATATGGTAGCGTGATGTTTTAGAACTTATAGCCTCCCTCGATAAATGGGCTAACAAATACAAAAATAATCATTCAAATCGGGTTAGCAGTTCCGGAGATTAGCGCGTTCAAATAAACACTCTCCAGCTTTATAATATTCGTATACTTAGATATGTATCTATAATAAATCTAATATTAGTTAAACCTAAGCCCCCTTAATACGAAACAAGGTTTATCTATAGTCCAGGTTTAAACCATTGAGTCGGGTTTTGAATTTTGAATCTTATTGTCATCTACCTTCAATTCGAAATACGAAAACTGGCTCAATGGTTTAGTCCTAAAGTAAAACCTTGTTTTGTAATAAGGCCGAAGGAGTTTGTTTATTCGAAACTCAGGAAATATTATTCCGAATTGAATATTTTTGTTATGAAAAGTTCATTATTTATCGAGGGAGTCTATAAACCATAGGTACCTACCGCTAAAATCACTAGTATCCTAGCTGCGCAGCGGATGAAATCGCATATAAATTCGTTTCAAGCAATTTCGTTTAGTTACATACTTATACTTCATAATTTAAATCTTAGGCAAGTGTTTCTGATTATATTATCTGGTTGTTTCAATATTACTCAACTCGACGTTATTAACTGGCATTACAACTGTTTATCTTATTGACATCAATTTGATAAATTTTGTATAATATTTTGCTTTACAACTTCACATTTGAACTAAACATTGATAAATAAAAAAACTTGTCTCGTTTAGCCTATTCAACCGGTTCTTTTTATACAGACATGTTTGAATCACAAACAAACTGTTATCTGCAGATGAAATTTATCTTAAAGTCAATACAATAAGGTTCGGAATTCTTTAACTTTTCTGGAAATCTAAATTTGTTAAAAATATTTGAGTAGTAGGTACGGTAAGACTTTTCTCCACGCGTCGTTGCTTGGCGTGTATTTTTTGTTTCGCGCAAAAATGACAAAATCCTACAATGACGTGGCTATATTAAAATTACTTATACTTACCTACTTTGTAATTTTCAATATTATTGTGTATGGATTTTACGAAATTAAGATTGAATCTTACTTCTGACTATCTTACTTTTTATCTTATACCTATAAATGCGAAAGTTACGATGTTTGCACGTTTGTTACTCAATCACGCCAAAAAGGCTGGACGGATCTGGATGAAATTTGGCACAGGCATAGAATATACTCCGGAATAGAACAAAGACTACTTTTTATCAACTACCACGCGGACGAAGCCCTGTGCGGAACCTAGTAAATTAATAAATATTTAAGTAAAAGAAATTACGTAATACTCTGAAAGTCAAATATTTACTTACTGAGAAGTTGTTACAGAAACACGAGAGCATTTAATAAGATTGCAATGTTTACTGTTATTTACAGATAAGAAAGATGTAGAGATGAAGCAAACAATTGGCCACTTTACGTTAGAAGTAATTGGGGCATGTGCATTCGGTATCAAATGCGACGCCATGTCTGATGAGAATGCACACTTCTTCAAAGTAAGTTAATAATTAGAACATTAAAAACATAAGACTGCATGGCCGGTCCACAAAAGCTAGTCGCTTAGCTACAACGAGTAGCGGGTTCGAAACCCGCACGAAAATTAGCTTTGTCTTTTGTAATCTGCAAATTTTTATCCTGGTATTACCTAGTAGGTATGTTTGTAAACGCATCTTAAACACGAAACTAAAATTTTGTGGGTTCCTTTCAGAAAAGAGGTTTCTCTTTTGATACTTAGGGAAAAAGCTCCATGAAAGATGATAGAAGCGTTGAAGGAAATAAAAATTGGTCTCTAAGCTGCGAGTTTCTTTGATAGATAAGTTGGTACAAGATGATAAAGGAATAAAAAAGAAAACAGAACCTTATCATTTTGTGATTATGTTTAAAATCTGTTTATGAAATTGATCTAAGTAAATTACCTACTAATTAACTAATACCAATTTTTCATTGTTATTTTAGGTAGCAGAGAAGTTCGACTATATGCCAATGCACAAGAGAATAATGCTGTACTTTATCCTTATATTCTTGCCTCAGCTAATAAGATACCTCAACTTTTCATTTTTGAATTTAGAATCATCAAAGGAATTAGTGACAATTTTAAAAGTTGCAAAGGATGAGCGACAAAAGTCTGGCGTTAAGTAAGTCATAATAATTAAAAAGAAATAACCATAGTTTCCTACAAAATTGTGTGTTTGTGTTATACTATATTGACACATAATGTTTATTTTTACAGGAAAAATGATTTCCTTCAAATCCTTGTTGATTTCTCCGAAAACGAAAGAACTGAGTCTGAGAAAACGAAGTCTACTGTTCGTAAGTAACCTGATTTGTTATGTGTTGTAGAAATAAGGTTCACTTTATTTTGCGTGTAAACCTATCTAATGTAAATAGAGTAAGTATACCTAACGTATCTAAGTACTTTAGTTGTGTAAACAATACTGTACCTAATATCTAATTGTTTAAACTTTACACAAAGGTAGATAATACATTAGACCTACTTACATAATATCCTATAAGTACGCACATACTTAAGCTACCTACATTAAATATACAAAAACATTTTTTTGCATTATTTATAATAATTTATTGTCTTTACAGATTTAGATGACGCGACCGTAGATGCCCAGTTACTATTATTCCTAATAGCTGGGTATGAGACCTCTAGTACTTTATTATCCTTCGCTATATACGTACTAGCTACCAAACCTCATATACAAGACGAACTAAGGTCCCATATCACGAATATGACAGAGGGAAAAGAAGTAGACTACGACCTCCTTGCGAAGATGAATTATCTTGATGGATTTTTGTTGGGTAAGTGTCTTTTGTACTTATCATTAGTGATGTATCTTTTATAATCAGAACCGTAAAGAAGTGGAATTCTTTGCCGGAGTCGGTGTTCCCCGAAATGTATAACCTGGGTGTCTTCAAGGCCCGAGTGAATAGGTTGCTTATGGGAAGGCGTGTTCATCGTCGTAGGTCGCATCGGCGCATACCACCAGGCGTGATAGCGGCCATCATAATAATTATATTCACTCAACCAACTTAGCATGGTGTGCTTGGTTGTCTACCCAAATATGAAATCTGTATTCACACGGTCCATATTTTGAATTGACTACATTTACCTACGTACATTTAATTATCCTTGAACATACGCTAACTTGGCTAGTCAATTAGAACTAGTTTCTAGATACCTACAAATTAGTGTTAATACTTAGATACTATTTGATCCGAATCTTATTTTAGATAGCTACTTTAATCATTACACGTGTAAAACTAACATAATAATAAAACGTGATAGTTTTATCATGTTTATTGAAATTTATATTCAGTTATACCTAATACCAAAATTTATTGCATTCATGCACTAGGAACATAAGATCATTATATATTTATGTTACGAAGTATTATCAAATAACGTCTTGCAGTGAAGATAAGTGTGTGTACTTTATATTTAATTAGTCACGCTCAGTAATATAGTGATAGGAATAATAGGTACACGGGTCTCAATCGTGTGAAATCTTTATATTATTATGTCAAGCGTTCTCTCTGCATAGCGGTTACCAACTTGGCGTTGTCAAATACATAGAATGTCAATGACCTACTGTTTTTTTTTTACTCTGAGATAACAACTTGCTCGTTGAGTTTTAATAATTTTGGAATTTAAGTATAAAAATAAAATATGTAGCGTTATAAATTGTAGTAATTAATTGTTATCTATATAGATGGTAGGTACTGGATGATATGTAAACTCCTGCATATTGACATTTTTTAAATGTTACTTTTTAATTTTGTTTTGAACTACCATAACTTTAATTTTGAATAGTTAGGTACTTACAAGTTTCGGTCGCATTACTTTAAACGCTAAAGCAGACTTCATAGTTCAATGAATGGATTTAAATAAGAATGTCTAAAATTTTCATTCACTCGACTTATTGACCCACCTGATAAAGACTTGTTTAAAAAAAAAGTATTTTTATTTAAGTATAGGTACTGATTTCTTATATGCTTTGATTTTTCAGAAACGTTACGCATGTATCCACCAGTTTCTCGCGTGGACAGGGTGTGCACAAAACCATATAATCTTCCTGGAACAAATGTAGTCATCAAACCTGGTGAAGTGGTGGCCATACCTCTCTATGGTATCCAAATGGACCCTGAATATTACCCGGAACCGAAGGAATTTAAACCAGAAAGATTCTTAAATGAAAACAAAAATGAAAGACCCTCTCATTTGTATATGGCGTTTGGTGTTGGCCCCAGGAATTGTATCGGTAATTAAATTTATTTTTTATTTATAGTTTAAAAAATAAAGAGTAATGTTCTCTAAGATCGGAAAAGGAGGAGGAGAGGTGATCAGCCTGGTTAGAATATTAGTGGCCCACCTAAACTAATATTCTAAAGAGGCAAAATTTGTAATTTTGTATGTTGGGAGTAATCTTTAGAATCAATCGTCGGAATTCCCAAAACTCCTTCACCGATAGATAGCTACAATATTCCTGCTATAGGCTTTAAAACATCACGCTACGATTAAAGGGAGTCGAGCAGCGGGTGGAACCGCGCGAAAGTAGCTAGCCAGTTATAAGTTGGAATTTTCTATCCGTGTTAGTTTGCGCACTAACTTAACTTTCGTTATGTATTATTTATGACGTCATCCGTTTAACATTGTGATCGATCTATTTACTGTGTGGATCGATATAATACAAAATGCGAATGGTAACTTTTTTAAAAAAGACGCTGACACTCTTTTTAGTGAACTCTGCCCTATTTATATCTTTCTTTTTTATATTAAATGTTTCATCACATTTTTTATTTTCTACAGCATATCGAAAAGTTATTATATAATTGCCTTATCTTTTCATTACAGGTCTGAGATTCGCGATGTTATCAGCGAAACTGGCTATGGTTGACCTCGTGAAGAAGTTCCGATTCTCTGCATGTGATAAGACAGAAGACCCAATTCAGTTTGACAGGAGATCTCTGTTGCTAAAGGCCCGAGGTGGTCTGTGGGTTCGTGTAGAAGCCATATAAATATTGTTTTTATATTAGTATGTAAAACTCAAATTTAAATTATATTTTACATAATTTACCTATTGTAGAACAACAAAGTACAAGTAGAAGATGAGAGAAGCATTTAAAATGAAGTTTGTTACACAAATAATATTGAAATATAATTAAAACGTAAATAATAATTTATACACCTATGTAAAGAAAGGTACCTTATGAAAACTACAGTATTTATTAGTATTTAATAAAAATTTATTGATCAATTTTTTTGTACATTCATCACAAAATAAGAGCCATATTATGTTATATTACTTTAAGATTTGTAGATCTGCCTTCACTGAAATTTCATTTTGTTCTCAGTCATCAGATTTAGCTCCAATATGGATATTTTTCTATCCAGGAGGTAGTGTGCTCCATGCTTTTATTTCTATCTATTATTTTAGATTAGGATTTTATAAAAGCTGCTATAAAGAATCCTATGGAATCCTTGTAAATAGGATCAACTATCCTTAGTTCACTGTCTTCCGGTCCAAATCTCTGTACCATTAACCTGAAATAGAATATTAAGATGAGTATAACTTTAAAGTGTGATAATTTGATTCAAATAATTAAGATACACAATAGTACAAAATATATTTTTCAAAATAAAGTTTAATTTTACAAATATGTTAACTATGTACAAAGATTCTTGCCAATACTGTAAGCAATTATTTATTTATGTTTTAAAATAAATGTTTTAACCAACCTCTGTGTGTCATTTAATCCTTTATTGGGTAATCCTGCTCCACCCAGTATTGGTTCTGCAGGTATAAGTTTGAGACATGGAAACTTCTCAAGTGCCCATGCCACCATACCTTCGTTTTCTTCATCTGTTATAGTGCATGTACTGTACACAAGTTTCCCGCCAGCTTTTAGTACTTTCACTGCCTTAACACACAATTTATATTGTTATTATGAGTAGTTTTGCATATTTTTGATGTATAGAACTTAATCGGTCAAAATCATATTTATAATACAGGACATGGATCTCATTTTAATATTGACATTAACTATCTTATGATACTTGTAACTGATTGATACACTTACCTCAGCAAATAATTTTCGTTGAACAAACTTGTATGAACTTATCATTTTTGGAGTCATTTTATTTACTAACTGCGGCCTTTGTCCCAACCCACTGCAAGGGGCATCTAATAACACTTTGTCAAAACTATTTGGTGGAAAAGGAGGTCCACTATTTAGCCCTTTACTGTCTTCAGAACAACATTTAGTTGAGTCAAATGCATAAGCTGTAACACAAGTTACTCCTTGAATCTCGCAACTTTCCTTTATTTTTGCTGCCTTCTGTGGTGTTTTATCTAAAGCTATTATTATTGCCTGAAAAATATATTTTTTTATATTATTTCAATATAACATCTCCCACCTTATGTGTAAGCTTTTGACTGATATTGATAGTGATTTGATAGTGATTATGATGAAGCAAATTTAGTTGTATTTAATAAATAAGAGGTAAACAAGGAAGCTAATTATGATGCATTGCATTATGCAGATTAGATATAGCATTCTTTTTTTAATATAGTTACTAACTTGATCATTAGACATTTCAGCTAAATGTGTAGTTTTATTACCAGGGGCAGCACACATGTCTAAAATATATTCATTAGGTTTGGCATCCATGACCCAGCCACAGATAATAGAAGGTAAGTTTTGCAGTAGTACTTGTCCCTTAGAATATATGGTTTCATTTACTACTGGTAGTTTGGATGCTGGTAAAATTGTATGCACTGCTATTCCACTATAAAGAACAAAATAAATAGTGAGACAACAAAAGACAGAAATGTCTGTCCTTATTAGCTAGGATTGGCACCAACAGACCTGCATTATTCCATTGTACATATTTGAATTAAATGGGCTCTGAAACTACTTGACTGATTTGGATAATTCTTTCATATTTTCTATATAATATAAAAGAATTATTCATCAATCACCTGCACTATTGCAAGTGAACATAGGGTATATTTTATATTTTATTTTATGTATTTCGAAAGGTTAGACCACTAGGCACATTTATTTCTTTATTATTTATTTAAAAAACAGTTCTATTATTTACCTTGGTTGAACACCATTATCAAATAAGTCAGCACGTAACATTTTCAAATAGCCAGTACCCACATACAACTTGCTACCTGTATATTCCACTTTCAGGCCTCTTTTACAATGGCCTTCTAGGTCTCCGTAAATATCAACTCTTTCACCCACTTGGCAATCTGAAAAAATTAAAAAAATGATTTCTGGTTCTCTTTATCTTAATTATTAATTATTATATCCTGTTTCATGGACAAAAACAAAGGGCTTGTAAATAGAAAGTTTCTGACACAACATGTAGCAAGAAACCTAAATGTTGTGAAATCACAATCAACTCAACAAAAGTTACATTCGACTGCCTGATCTTCAATAATGCAAGTATTACTTGCAAGAGACAGTATTGGCAATAATTTTAATGGCATTGGGCAAATTTGTTTAATTTATACATCAAACCATACCAGTATGATTATTTCTATGGGAATAGGCAGAAACTATAGGATCTGAACAATATCTAAACAAATAAAAATGAGTCACCATCATAAAGCTTTATGCATCAATCAGGATATACCATGTCTGTCATGTCATGTCATGGCAAAGAAAATGGAACAATTATTATAATGGTGGTTCACATTCCTAAAATATCACAAAGGATTATAATAATGAGTATGCAATATGTATTTAAAGTACTCACTCACAGGTAAGCCCATTACCCCAGGGGCAAACACATGAGCTCCCCTTAGTACAGCTGCAGCACATAGAGCATCAACTATGACCTCTTTACCTGCCTTCTCCAAACGAGCTGCAGGCCATGGTCCAAGAATAAGGCAGTCTGGTCTTAAAAAATAGAAGTCAGGTAGTTCTGTAGTTTCCAGCTCTTTGCTTTGCTGTAATTTTTGAAATTAAAATGTTTATTTTATATATGTACTATAATATATGATAAGGTTATTTAAAAAAAAAACAAAATTAGCTTCGTCAACAGGTTCACAAAACAATCTTAATATTGCAGAGATAGATTCACAAATCTTAAATTCAGTTTAAGTATTAAGATATTAGGAATAGGAATATAAACTTACAGATACTAGAAACTTTTTAAGGACACCCACATCAAAACTTAATAATTTGTTTACTCTAAAAGTTGTTATTTTTGGAGCCTGACATAACCATGCCCTCATAATGTTATTATCCTTTAGGATTTCCATGGTTATTCTTTATTTTCTCGTTGACTTTTATTCTATCTTCCTGTATAATAATAATTTATTGAATGATTGAGGCAGTGGCAATGTTTATATCATGTGCTATATTATTATATTTCTCTGCCCCTTAACTATTACCTAGTTGTTAAAGTTATAATACTCTACCGCATGAAAATTAATATATAATATTGTTATTACAACAATGCAACAATCATTGTTGTTTGTTTTCATGTACTTCGTATTTTCCAATATTGAATTTTAAATTTAATAAGTACACACATAATATGTGACATTGACAGACCTTTGAAATGTCAAACGGAATATGGTGACTGTCATTTGTGTTATGACGGTTGCCAACAAAAAATACTTTTTGACGTTTTTGATCTAAATGATAAAAGGTCTTTTAGGCAACCAGATGTGTTGTATAAATTCTGTGAGCTTACTGGAAAATTATTTTGCTTCTTACACCCACAGTCCTCAAATCATCCAATTCTCAAATCCCTAATCCCCAAAAGGTCGGTAATGCACTTGTAACTCGATGTTGTGGGTGCCCACGGAAAGAGCCGATTGCTTACGTTTATAAAAATTAAATATACTATGTCCCATTAAACAAAATTTTGTATAAAACGTTGCCCTACACTAGGATTTTCTCTTATCGTGGGTGCGTTTATAAACATACAATTTCACATACATACATATCACAACCCGACCCGGAATAACAATTTATGTACCACACAAAAAGTTGTTCCAAGCGGGAATCAAACCCAGTGACACGTTGCGCGACAGCCAATGGCCTAACCACCGTACCAATCGTGCAGTCTGTCAGTATGACAATGTGTTTGTCATTTCTGATCAAACTAAATTATATTTAAGTAAATAAATCTTGCAAATATACTCTAAACGTAAAAGCTGATTAAAACACAATTTGGAATCAATCCTAAAACTGCATAATTGGCCTGAACACGATGTTAAATTGACCGTGCGTGCCACGTTGCATTAAATGCGTAGCAGTCTAGCAGGACGTTAGTCATAAAGGCATATTGCGATTTTTGAAGAAACACAGTCTCCAAACCACGTCAGTGTTCATTGAATAGCTTTATCCTTTCGTTTACATATAAGTTTCACTCAAGAAAATATATTCAGTATTTAAAGCAACAACCATAAGCTTGGAGCTGTGGTTGGTTGTTAGTTTATTTAGTAGTATTCCTACCCCTTAAAATGAGTTAAATCAAGTTAATAATATTTTATAGTCCTTAAATATATAATTTCACGTTAAAAATACATAAGAAGACGTTTGTGTTTCATATTATCAAACAATTACAATAATAATTAATGAAAAATTACATCCCTTGCTGTTGTGATTATTTTTATTGTCACTGGCCACTTTTTTCCAATACGTGGCATAGGCACGAACAACTTCCACGTTCGCCGCCATTTTGACATCGAGCGAATTGTATAGAATCTACTGATTTAAAGCTTTTTTTCTTGATTGTGTTGTAATTGGCATCTGAAAATGTGAGTATTTTATCTGCAGTCACTTATTTTATATGTTTGTTAAATTAATGTGTTAAATGAACTGTATATTACGTTTTGTATACTTTATAAACTGAGGGTGGTGACCGCCGTATAGACCAACAGCGGTGTCGATCGAATCTTTGTTGTAAATCACTCCAGTTGGATATTGTAATAAAAGTTGATACTTATGATTGAATTATAATTGCTTTTTGCATCCAAAAGTTGAATCTTGTGTTCTTGTTAACTTAGAATAGAAAACATACTACGTCAAATTTTTGTAAGGACCTGCCATGTCATTATCATTGATTGAAATAACGTGTAGACTTGACGGATGACTCAGTTCGGATAATGTTAAATTTCTAATATTATTTTGTTATTGCAGACTAATCGCAAAGCTTCAAAATGGGGAATATGTTTGCGAATTTATTTAAAGGCCTATTTGGCAAAAAGGAAATGAGAATATTGATGGTTGGTTTGGATGCTGCTGGTAAAACCACAATCCTATACAAACTTAAATTAGGCGAAATTGTTACGACTATTCCAACGATTGGTGAGTATTTCATATTTTTCTACCACTATAATTATAACATAATTTCAAATTAAATATTTTTGATGTCTTTCATTATCTTTACTAAAAACACTATTTATGATTTTTTTTCCATATGTTGTAGATAATAACTGTAATCACATGTAGTGTTAAATGATAATGAATCAACTTATAATTTTGACAATATAATATGGCTAATGGAATTTGTATTGATTTTATCTGATATCCAATAATACAACATAACCATTAAAAAGTATTGATAACTATCTACTTTTCTGAAAATAGTGCATTCTGTAGTCTAATGGAACAGGATCTGAATGATCAATTCATCTAAATTAATTAATTTGAATTTAAATTTGTTGATGTGTTCTGTTCAAAAATGTAATGAAACGATGTGTTTAAATTGGTTATGTGTTGTCAGATATCTTTTATTAAGAAAGAATATAATACAAATGCCATTATTTCAAACCAAACTTAAACTACCTTCTAAAATTACTCAGCTTTCCATAGGATATCTTAGTAATGTTAAATACTAAATGACTGGAACTGTTTATATTGTATAAATGTGTGAGAAATATCTTGCACACAAATTAAGTAATGAAAATGTTGTTAATCATCTATTTAAAATTACATTCTTATATTGTTGACATTAAAAATTGATATTTACATTATTTATATAACTTTGTGATGAAGGACTTAAATCCTATTATATTTTTATATGTCTCATAATGAACCTTTTTTTGCATGGGACTTTTTACTCATTGTGTCAATAATTTCCACAATTTCACATGCCTTTTCCCTTTTTCCAGGATTCAATGTGGAGACTGTAGAATACAAAAACATCAGTTTCACTGTGTGGGATGTAGGCGGTCAAGACAAAATTAGGCCACTGTGGAGGCATTACTTTCAGAACACACAGGTCAGTAACATCATTGCTGTTTGCTAGTTCTAATTGGAAGATTGTCTTCTCATTCCAATACATTGCACATGAATAGTTATTTTTCCTCACAGGAACAATATTTTCCTTTTGAATACAACAAATGTATGGTTGTCAATCTTCAATAATCCACATTCCAAGAATGAGTATGTATAAAACGCTTGTTTAAATTGCCTTATCCTGAATTGTTCAGATTCATCACATCTTTATGCATTCTGATTGTACATTGTGATGTCTGACTGAAAGGAAAAATAATATGGACCCCACCAGATCATATGTAGGATCTTATTAGAATAATTTGGTAGTGTTAGCTAGATAAAGTTTCATTTGTGTATCTGTCATCATAGAGATTGTCATGAGTGCCTCTTGGTGTTCACAATCACATTTGTGAAAGTGGGTCATTGTTTCTAATTTTAAAACTTACAGATGATTTCACTTGGTTGTACAAACAAAGGCTTTATTTTATAATAATATTAATCGTCATATTAATTTATTAAAACAGTTTCCTCCAATCGAAATTAGAATTAAATTTTGAAATAAAGACTTATAAATTAAAACAAGCTAAAGTAAACTAGTCACAGCTTTTTGAATATCTACAAAGCCATTGTAAATTGAAGAGTATTGTAGTGCCTTATTGAAATGTATCAATAGCAAATTCTTTCTACATCAATTAGCATTTACACATGTTAAGTTACATGGCTTCCTTTATTACTTGTCGGCAACTTTAATGTGGTAGTCTGGCCTCATTTAAACACTATGTTCGTCACTACTCATTCTAGATTTAGTTTCTTTATTAATAATTAAAAGTCATCATGTAAGCATGTATAAATTTACGGGGAGAAGATGTGTCTCCTAAGAAATTAATAAAGAAGTGAGACAGGACATGCAAGATAAAATGCTTAAGAACATTTTATCTGATTGATTTCAAATGTCACTGCTCTAAAAAATGTTAATATATTGTTTCATTCGCATAATAGAGCAATTTGAATGTAATGTGAAGTCGATGGAATGTATTTATTATTCAGATAACCATCTTAGTTAATATCTACATTTTACTTAAAAGATACTTAATTACCGTAATATATTGCATATTTTATTATGTGTTTACTCGTAGTAAAATATAGTTGCGTATTACAATTTTAAATAACATAATAGAGTATTGATACGACGAAAATAAAGTTGCGTAGTATATGTTCCTAAACGGGTTCACCTTGGCGTTTATTGTTTTGATAATAATTAGTCATAGGATTATTAAATGAAGGCGATATTTTAGTGATAAAATTATGCCTGCGTAATGCTCGTGTTGAATGAAGTCACATCCTAGGAAAAGTATTTTCATGTGCTATGACAATACTATTCAATAGTTTATCTTTTCCCTATAGAGGATAGAACGTGTTTTTTATCTTTACATATATGAATGAGTAATAGGATGTTTAATTAAATTTTATTTAATTATTGAGTGTGGTTCTCTACAGTAGGGTAATGTGGACACATTAATATGTTGGTAGATTTTTAGTGAATTATAATTACTCTTTGTTCTTGTTACATCTAGTCATCTGAGCGATGAAACAGAATTCTCTTCAATATTTTGTTTAAGTGTAGGTTGTGCCCCATTTTTATCTGTTTGTGCGTGTTTTTATTTTTAAACATACACAATTACGCATAACATTTTCTCCAAAAAATTGAATACTATTTGTAAGATAAATAAAAGATTTGTTGTGTGCTCAAATTGAAGCCCTGATGTGTTGTGCAGCATTTGCTTTCCTTGCCACTATGTCAACAGTACAGTTTATTGAGTTGTGACATTTGTCAGTTAATAACAATGCATTGTGTTTCAGGGTCTCATCTTTGTAGTAGACAGTAATGATCGAGAGCGTATTGGTGAAGCGCGTGAGGAGCTCATGCGAATGTTAAGTGAAGACGAACTACGGGATGCTGTACTTTTGATCTTTGCAAACAAACAGGTAACACATCAAACCACTTGCTTTATTATAGGATAATGATTGAAACTTAATTCGAGTCTTACCTATTCATATTGCTTTTAAACTTACGACACTATAACCTTGATTTTAAAACAGCTGCAACCTTGAGCAATGTCATGTAACAACTTAAATTAATATAAAATTATTTCACTAGGATCTGCCAAACGCAATGAATGCCGCCGAGATAACAGACAAGCTGGGTCTGCACTCATTGCGCAACCGCAACTGGTACATCCAGGCGACGTGCGCCACCTCCGGCGACGGTCTGTACGAGGGCCTGGACTGGCTCTCCAACCAACTGAAGAACGCCAACCGCTAACCGCAT